ACCAAGGTTCTGTGTTTCTTGTTGGATATGCATACACTTTTCCTTTTAAGTCAGCTAAGTTCACAAGATGTCGTACATTCATACTCATTTCAGCTTTATATTTAACACATAGGCGATGTCGATACAAGTTAAAAATTTTAACTTCATCTAGCTGGCTAAATAATTTTTCCGTTGGAAATTCCGGTGAAACATTGCAAATGCTTCGTAGTATCTTTTTTTGTAATAAAAATATCTTTTGTAGATTTGTATGATTGGTAGTTCCCCAAATTAAATGGCCGTAATTAATTTGTGAGTAAAATAGCGAGTTATATATTAGCAACTTTATTTTAAGAGGCAAAATATCTTTGTGACGATACGCCAGTCCAACAATGCTAGACAGTTTTGATCTAACATAATTTACACGAGCATCCCATGACATGTTCTCTGTAAAAAAGACACCTAAAGTTGTAAATGCTGGTACCATTTCTATTTTAGAAGAATTGAACATTATATCCTCGTCTATGTTAACAATTTTACCCTTCGGACGAAACAAAACAGCCTTTGTCTTATTCACATTTATTTTTAACCCATTATACCTACTCCATGTATTTAACTTTTCTAGCGTGACGTTTGCGTTCTCAATGAGCTCTGCGGGGCTATCTCCATTAAACAGCATGCTCGTGTCGTCTGCGTAGATAATGAATTTTGTTGAATTGCTAATATTTACGATATCATTTATATAAAGATTAAATAAAAAAGGACCCAAAATGCTTCCTTGAGGAACCCCTGATTTGATTGGCTTTACATCGGAAAATTGACCAATGATGTCGACATACTGCTGACGGAAAGACAAGTATGATTGAATAAGAAGCGAAATCTGACGCCGATAGCCATATATTTCGAGTTTTTTTAATTAGAGGGTTGTGATCGAGAAAATCAAAAGCCTTCGTGAAGTCAATAAATAAGCCGAGAATTAGTTTTTTTATTTTCAAAACCTTTAAGAATGTATTCTTTTTGAGTGAGAAGAGCGAGTTCAGTAGATCGTTGCTTGCGGAAACCGAACTGAGATGGGGTGATTAAGTTATGACTCCCTGCAAATAATGACATTCGAAGGAGCAGCATTTTTTCTAGTCCTTTAGAGAACACTGGCAAAATGGAAATTGGTCTATAATTACCAAGATCGTTTTTATCGCCCTTTTTATATATGACCGATACTCTTGCGAGCTGCATTCGTTTTGGGGATATGCCGTTTTGAAAACAAAGACTGAAGATATGCGTCAGACAAGCGGAGATAAGATCAATGACGTGTTTGACCGGCTTTATCTGTATACCGTCGGGGTCACAGCTTTTACTGTTATTTAATGATTGAAATGTAGATATTACCTCTGTGTCAGTAACCGGTGTAAGAAAGAACGACGAACAATTTCTAAACTGTATATACTTGCAGACATCATCCTCGGGGATTTCATTACTTAAATTGACAAAATATTCATTGAACTTGTTCGCCAGTTCCTTTCCGGCTAGCTGCTGACCATTGTACGTTATATTTTCCAAGTGCTTTGGACCGTCCATACATTTCAACACGGAATTAAGCTTTTTCTATATCATATCGGTTCTATTTCCACAGGCTAGAAAGAAGTTAAAAAATATTTTGATCTAGCATTACGGATTTTCTTGTTTAATTTGTTTTGAAAACGTTTAAAGGCACTAAGTTCATCAATATCTTTCGTTTTATGAATTTTTGATAAAGCTAGTTTTTTGTGCATATTTTCACCAGTAATTCTTTCGTAATCCATGGTTTACGTGCTTTTCTGCGCAAACTTATTGTTTTATAAGGAAAACAACTTACACAGAGCTTTTGAAATATGCTCAGGAACATAATATAAGCCTTTTCTGTGTCTGTCTCGAGAAAACCATCGCTCCAATCAAAATTGGATAGTTTTTGTCTAAAATCATTTAGACTGTCCGGCGTAATATTCTGATACGTTGTCAACCGTGACTGTTTAATTGGTTTTGTAATATTTGTTTTTTTAATACACAAGAAAATACCTAGATGATCACTTATGTCAGTAATTACCATGCCGGATCTGGTTTGCGACTCGTCAAAATTCGTAATAAATAAGTCAAGTAAAGTCGATGACTCGGTAGTGATCCTTGTAGCCAAAGAGATTACGTTCATGCATCCGCATGCTGTAATTAACTCGTTCATTTCTCTTTCACATGGCGATTCGAGTAACATATTTATGTTAAAGTCGCCTCCCAAGATTACGTTGTATTTATTATCATTGGAAAAATAAAGAAAAGACTCTAAGTAAGTAAAGAGGATGGAAGGTTTCCGCCCGGTGGGCGATAACAAACAGCGATAATGTTCCGACCGATTAATAAAGAAAAAAACTCATAATTTTTGTGAACGCAGCAATAATCATTTAGAATTTTACCCGAAATGGTCTCTTTAAGCAATAGGGCCATGCCCCCTCCCTGACTAGCAGTGCGCTTTAGGAAGTAAGTATTGTACGACCATAGTTTAAGAACATCACTAGGCTCGGAGAACCAAGTCTCAGATAACATAATTACATCAAAACTACATTTAAACTGATCAAAAAGCAAGTGGATTTCGCCCGATTTATTTCGTGCGGATCGAACATTAAGGTGCGAATATTTCAGAGAGCTGCTGTACTCGTTTCCTAGGAAAGAGCTTACATTTGACGGCAAAAAATATTGGTCGTCTGCCACATAATGTTTGTTGCTAGACAATGTGCAAGTATGCTTAGTCATTTAAAAAAAAAATGTTTCAAGAGTTAACACACGGGGAAAAAATTACGCCAATTTTTCGAGATCATCCGAAGACTTAATTACATGCACTGGTTCCCGGTCCTTCTTGCGCATGAGGACATTTCCGTTTCTGAACCAAACATATTTGTAGTTTTTTTCCTTAGCGCACTCTTTCGCTTCCCAAAGAAGCGCTCTGTCAGGCTTTGTTAGATTTTCCTGAATGTAGAAATCGCTTTTCGCTTTCTTCAGCAGTGCACGTTTTTCTAGCCATTTATCTCTGGTCTGCTGGTGAACAAAGCGTACAATGATGCCTGGGGTTTTATCAGGTCTAGATTCTAGCCTATGAATATTGGCATCCTCATTTGTTGTCACATCCGGCGCTTCGAGCATTTTGGCAATCTCATTCACCTTTGCCAGCAAATCTTCCTTGGCATTCAGAGGGATTCCGTGAATTTCAAGATTTTGCTTTCTGTTCCTCCATTTGAGGTTATTTGCTTCATGCTTTGGCCTTCTAATTTCAGCATAAGCGTCAGTTTTTTCAAAGCCTTCTAGTCTTCTTTTTATTTCTTTGATCTGGTTTCCTCGTTCTCCAACCTGCTTTAGTACCGCGTCATAGTTATCTGACATTGCTTGCACGGATTTCTCGATTCCGTCCACAGTTCTTTTAGGCTGAGTAGATTCTCTAGTTTAGCGTAGATGGATGCGAACATGGCGGCTACATTAGGTTCCCTATCTTCTTTGACACCCTGAGTGCTTCGTGTCACTGTTTTGCACGTTGTACATCGCCATGATTTGCGCAAAGCGTTCCCCTTTGACTTATAAGTTTCATCCGAAATGCCAGAGCAACTGAGATGGTAGTAATTATCGCACTCTGTGCAGGTCAGTTTGGCCTCAGTGTCTGAAACCTCTTCTGCACATTTGGAACAAGTGTGTTCCATGTGGTATCAAAACAGAAGAAAAAACAGCAGCAGCAGCAACAGCATGGAGGGGTAAAAAATAAACAGGTAGAATTTGACCAACCTGTAACAGTCGTAGATATGGTTTAGCACACATTCTTACGTGCTGCCGCTGCTGCTGTGTGCCGCTGGAGCGAAGACCAGGCTTTTTATGGGCAGCGGTTGATGACGTGAAGTTTCCGGTATAGTCCTGCACCAATCACGGCTCACAGCTTCGATGACGGGAGCTGCTGAGCTGCTGCGAGGACGGCGACGATGACTGTTGCACCACGATGACAGGCACTGCTACCAAAGTAATGATGACGGCCGCAGCTTCCTTGACTGGCGGACTTTTCCAGCTGTAACAGTCGTAGATATGGTTTAGCACACGTTCGTACGTGCTGCCACTGCTGCTGTGTGTCCTTCCAATCCTTTTTTTAGAAGATCCGAGCCATTCATGGATGCATTTATAAGATCTGAGCCATTCATGGATGCATAACTATGTGGCAGACACTTTCTAGTGCTTGCATTAATGTTTACGAAGTCTGTGGGCTCCTGCGCTGCTCTACAGTTGAACTCTGTTATATCACACTCCAGGTATTTCAAATTATTGTTTATGTATAATTTGAAATATAAATAGACACCGAAAGAAGTACGCCGAATTTTGAAAAAATAAAAACCGAAAATGCGGAGCCCTAAATATGACGCATTGATATTTAGTTACTCTCTCCATGCCTGCTGGCTTGCCCGAACCCCAAGAGACGTGGAAACCGCAAAAAAGGTGGACGCTTAAATATGAATAAAGGGCCTCTTTAACTTTATTTTATAGATCAAGAGTTTTTTTGTTTGTTTTTATGCGACTCACTTTTTCCGTTTTTTTATTTTTTAAAGTTATTTTCCTGTTTTTTGCCTGCGCTGTGTGGAAATCGTGTCCAGGCGTAAACGATTGCAAGCACCGTCGCATAAACGCGGCGGTGTTTGTGATCTTCACCATCTAAGCTCTGCTGTATTAAGCGGCTCTTAGAGGCTCTATTTGGTAAGGTCCCGTTTGTCACAGCCTTCGGTATAAGCAGAGATGCACGGAAATTTCAACTTCAGCTTAAGTTAACATATTTTGTATATCAAATTATTGATATATCAAACTATTTTATGATCCCTTTGAATTCGATATATCCGGGTTCGACTGTGTTGGAACAGTGCCGAAACAAGGAGGGCTTCTTTGGTTTTTGATTAAGAATGACAGGCGCTCCTCGCACATCATTCTTGACATGCCCGAACCTCTCAACAACTCGTACCTCGGCTGGTCGATCGTAGAAGGAGACGGACAAGGGGCACGAGCTCAAGCGGCAGGTAGTTCGTCTGCTGGAGCAAGAGGCGACGCTGCGGGCCGAGCTCTCGCGTCTGAAGCAGAGGACCGCTCGGCAGAGCGCCGACCTCCAGGATCAGCTGCGCCAATCGCAAGCGCACTGCCTCGACCTCCAGTGTCAGCTCGACGAGGTAAGAGAGCAATTGGTTTGGATTGGATTTACCGGTGTCCCCCTTGCAGTTGGTGACAGCCTGCTGGAAGTTTTGGACCGACTCGCCGTAAATCGGCTCGGCTGGGCCCAATGAGTGCCCAGCCAAGGCTAGCTGTGTTGAGGGGGAAACAGAGTATTGTCTTTTTGTCATGGCAACAGGGGAGTCCCCCGATTGCCGTAACTTCAGGACAGACTTCCGTTGGCTATTGACAATATGTCGGCTAGTGGGTCCTTAAACTGAGTTTCTAAAAACAGAAGTTTGGTGGTGGATGAGTGAATGAATACTGTCGGAACCGGTTATAGCGAAGTCAACAGGAATCAGAAATCATTTAGCTATATCCGCTATTTCGTTATAACTGACTTCTGTTATAACGAATGGGAAATAGTGATCGCTTCGCTCTAGCCGCTATTTCATTATAACCGACTGTTATGACTAGGGCTCCGTGTTTTCGGATAAATCCGAGAAACACCCGCCGGTAAATATTTCGTCAATTCGGATTTATCCGATAAACTCCGAATGTTTATGTGCCAATACCACCCCCCCCCCCCCAAAAAAAAAAAAAAAAAAAAAAAAAGATAGATTTTTTTTTTTTTTTTTTTACAGTTTAATTAGCACAGAGTCAATGGTCCTGTGAAAATGGCACCATAACTAACTTTCAAATCTCAGACCAATGTCAAAAGGGGTCTTGCCGCTTGTCTCGTCGAGGTTGATTCAGGGCAGCAAGTCATTGTACAATCGGGCCACGACAAAAGCCACTCCTTTGGTTTCCAGTTGGAGCCATCCGATTTGTGATTTAAAGAAAGGATAAGTTATGTTTTTGTAACAGTGAAAGCTAGGGACCATAGAGATTGCATTAAATAGGGAAGAGGGGCAGTTGAAACTTCTCTATTACATCCTTAACCACTCCACCTCGCGCGGCCATGGGATAGATTGGTGGGATGGCTACGAGCTTCCTTGCGGCTACCTCCGGCAGCTTATTGATTTTAAGTTATCGACGTTTATCGAAGCCACACTTGCGTGCGACTTTTGTCATGGCACAAATTAATAGTGCGAATGGCAATGGCACGAACGTCAAATTCAACTGAAGAAATTTTAATCGATACAAGTGCGTGTTATTTTTTATTTGGCATACGTTTACATCCGGTTATTATTTACATATTTATTTTCAATAGGAAACACTGTGAGATTAAACTCCGAATTTTGGAGAATCGGCTATCAAACAAATGTAAACTTTGATAAACTCCGAATCTTCGGCAAAAAATAAACTCCAAAAAACACCCTCCGAATTTGACGAAAAATAAATTCCGTAAACACGGAGCCTTAGTTTTAACCAGTCTTGACCTAAATTTTTTGACCTGAGGATGGTGCTCTGGCCGGCTGGGAATGGGTAAAGGGGGTTTCAGAGGCAGCCGTTTGGTCGTCGGGGTGTGCCATAGTAGAGATGGAGTTTGTTACTGGCTGGCGAGGTGTTGTCAGTTGCGTGTGCAGTCTTCTGCCGTCGATGTGCATACAGATCTGTTGCGAGTTTGTCCTTCCATCAGAGTCACCTACGGTGGCAGCAGGATTTTTTTTTTTTTTTGTCGTGCTGTTACAGCCAGTGGCTGGTGCTTTTGCCAGGTGGTTGAGAGGAGGCCCGTACGCTCCCAGATCGGGTGGCGGGATTCGTTGTGGGCCAGCGCGCCCAGATTCGTTAGGCAGTGTTAAGTTGGGTCTGTTTCGTTGCTAGTAATGGCGCCATCTGGCAACTACGTCCTATTGTTGTGTACATTATGTGGTAGTTAACTAGCCCCCTCATGTAGAGTGCTATTTTGTGGGTACCTTTGAGAAAATAAAACTGAACTGTGATTGCAAAGCCCGGTTGTGCTTTTGTGATCGGGGCTTGCGTGCCTCACGGTAGACCCCTGGAGAGCACGTCCGTTAGTGCAGGTTCCTGGTTTGTGTTAGTTTGGTGTATCTGTTTGCATTTTGTGCATTCTTCGGGACTATCTGGGAGGCAGGGTTCCAAGCTGCGAGTGGTGAAAAGTTTGGTCGGACTCACTCGCAAGCTTGTTCGTCACTTCGTTACCTCTTGTGCCAGCGTGTCCTGGTACCCATCGTACATGGACTTCCATTTATCTCTTGGTTTGGGTCTGTCTGCAAATTCTCCTAAGGGCGGACAATGGCTAGAGGTTGAACTTCTGAACTACTCAAGTGATCGGAATGAAATTTGCAGGGGTGATTTAACTTCAGATGTAGGTGTACTGTGCAAACTTTCAGCTCTCTAGGTCAATTTTACGTACCTTCACAAGAAGATATGTCAGTCTTCGTTAAGAAATCATGATATGTAAATTAAGCTATTAAGCATCATTTTAACTGCTAGAAAATAAAGTGGGGGATGTGGGATTTCGGGCTATCTAGTTTTTATAGGTCTAACGTAAATATTTCAGGAAGAGTGATTACCTCAAAATATGAGATGCATATCTGTCCTATGTCAGTTTTTGAAAACATAGCTTTTCTCAATGAGGACTTCAGCTTAAAACAAAATAAAGTATATAGCCCGATCCTTCAGTAAATTTCAGTTCAAAAACATCTTGATTGTGGTATCAGAATAATTTTACCTTTGAACAAAAGATTCCTTCGTATGAAATTTGCAGCAAAAAGCAGAACTGAGAAAAGTGCATTCAAACATTGAACTCCTTTACTTTGTTACTGCCTCACAATGTGTTGAAAATATTTTATATCAATGTAACTATTTGGCAAATGGTTATGAAATTTAGTGTAAGGGTGTATATAATTAGTTTCTAAAACCGAAAACCTAAAATTTGAAAAATGAATTTTTTCAAAATATTTTGAAACTTAGGTCCATGTCCCCTTAATGAAGGTTGTCACATAGTGAAATCAAGATGGTCCCGTAAGTGCCTCGATGATTCAAATGCAATTGGTGTGGAAAACAAGTGGGGTGTTGCTTTCTGGAGGATGTCGTGTGATTCAATTGGCACCAAAAAGGATGGCTCGTATTTATTTATTTATTTATTTATTTATTTATAATACCCTCAGGGCCACAAGTGGCCCTGAGGGTATTATTTCGCTCTCTGCGATGGCTCTGGCAATCGGCGTCGTTCTCGGACAGTTGTTCCGTCCGCGCTGACGGCTGCCATTGCAGCCATTTGGTCGTTGGGGTGTGCCATAGTAGAGATGGAGTTTGTCACTGGCTGGCGAGGTGTTGTCAGTTGTGCGTGCAGTCTTCTGCCGTCGATGTGCATACAGATCTGTTGCGAGTTTGCCCTTGGGGTTTCTTGTTCGTAATGCCCGTGTCATCCCACCGGGCGGCGAAATTACGTACTCATACAGCCTTTGAGTCAGCTCTGCTTTAGGATCCGACAAGCACATATGAGGAGTTTCCTAATCAAGATGTTATGGCGTACAACTTACTGTTATAAGTAACGGACTGTGCCGGTCTATCTGTTTGTCACTTCTTATCCTTGTCTTCTTTCGTTAGTCCTTTATTTGCATACGCGCGGTTTACTGCTCTGCTTTCGTGCGCCGATTTGTGGTCGAGCTGCTATGGGCAACAGATTCGAGTAGTTGCTCTGCGATGTCCTTCCCCCTACAGTTGTTTTACTCTGTCATTGTGGTCTCCACTTGTGCAGAATTTTTTTCGGTGCTTTTGTGCAGAAGACCGAACTGGCCGAAAACACCAGAGTCACCTTGAAAGCGGAAGTGCACAGGTACGTCCAGATCGCCTTGTCAACTCTTTTGGTTCGTCGAAAAGATCCTGGGGGCAGCGTCTGATCGATTGCGTTTCGTGCCTCTTGAATTCAGGTTGACCATGAGCCAAGTGTCCCTTTCCTCCTCGCTTCAAGAGACCAGGGAACAACTTGATCTGCTCATGAGGTACCTTGGAACTTTCTTTTTGTTTTATCTCATCTCTGTATTTTGTTTTTCATAAAGTATAGTTTTATTTTATTTAATAAAATGTCACAATAATATACAATCAGTGTTTGGACCCATAGCCAAAGGCCAGTTTGAGGGTCAATAAAAAAATATATCTCTGAATGTGACAGGCAATATGTACAACATAAAATAAAAATAACATCACAAAATACTAACAAAATAGATAATTTTACGACGAAAGTAATCCCTGGAGAAGGGGAACAAGAGGGACAAAGGACAAACATAAATCTCCAAACACAGCTAGGTGACTGGTGAGCGACCGAAAAAATCCGCCTGGTCCGGGTATCGAACCCGGGACCTCTCCATTACCAGAGGAGCGCTCTACCAACTGAGCTAACCAGGGGTTAGACGTCAGTAGAGCAAACGGGTTTTATCAGCTGCCACCAGTCGAACACCAACAAGGGTGAAGCTTGCAATTTAAGGTTATAATTATAATGCAATTAAATGCAAAGGTGCAAGCGAGCTGGACAAGAATGACGAAAGTAATCCCTGGAGAAGGGGAACAAGAGGGACAAAGGACAAACATAAATCTCCAAACACAGCTAGGTGACTGGTGAGCGACCGAAAAAATCCGCCTGGTCCGGGTATCGAACCCGGGACCTCTCCATTACCAGAGGAGTGCTCTACCAACTGAGCTAACCAGGGGTTAGACGTCAGTAGAGCAAACGGGTTTTATCAGCCGCCACCAGTCGAACACCAACAAGGGTGAAGCTTGCAATTTAAGGTTATAATTATAATGTAATTAAATGCAAAGGTGCAAGCGAGCTGGACAAGAATGACGAAAGTAATCCCTGGAGAAGGGGAACAAGAGGGACAAAGGACAAACATAAATCTCCAAACACATGTTTGTCCTTTGTCCCTCTTGTTCCCCTTCTCCAGGGATTACTTTCGTCATTCTTGTCCAGCTCGCTTGCACCTTTGCATTTAATTGCATTATAAAGATAATTTTACTTTTTACTATTCTGAAACACAGTAGGTCAAATTCCTAATCATAACTTATATCTTTTAACTCAAGAAAAAACATTTTAAAGGTACCAAAAAATTACTTCTCATTGCCTCATTTCTAGGTGTATTATTCCAATTTAAGGCACCGTTAAACTCAATTAATCTTTGTTCATAGGTACTGTTGTGCAAATATTAAAATTTCCTAATAGCATTTCCGAATAATACATTATTCGATATTCGCTTTAAGATGAACTGCGATATTCATACTTTTTTAAGTGTTTATTGCTCAGATTTAGCCCTGTTGAGCGTGCTTCTCACCGAGCACCTGTGCACTGTGGGGAAACAATACCTGCATAGCTCGCAGCAGAGCTGTGTATAGAGAGAGTTTGGTCAATGGGAGTCTCAGGCAGAGCCAGGGCGTGTACCAGACTCGGAAAGAGAGCTTGGCATGCTCTCTTGACCAACCAGAAGCCGAAAAAAATCCCCGAGCGGTGGTAGCAAGAAACAGTTCTGATCAAAGGTATATGTTCGTATATGATTTTAATAAGCGCGTAAGAGTGAAGTGTAGTAACTCTTTGTGGTTGGAAATAGGGTGCATGTGATGTTTCAATCATGATCATGCAGAAAGATGTAAGAAACGAATGGCCCGCTCAACTCTGTTTTGCTAGCGGTTTTGCTCGGACAGAGTGTGATCGCTCGGGCGGCAGATTCCTGGCCCTCGGCGCTTGCCGTACGGATTATGTCGATCGTTCCGCTCTTCCACCATCATTTTGGATGAGCGTGATTCAAACATCATGTGTACCATATTTTCAGTCAGTGAGAGTTACTCCGATGCACCTATTAGGTCTGTTTCTCGCGACCACCGCCAACGTATTATTTCCAGCTTCTGGTTGGTCACATTCGAATATCTGAAGACGCCCTGGAAAAGGCCCAGCCCGCTTTTGGTCAACGGCGCCTCCTCATTTGTCTCCTATACTTCCCAACGAATGGCCAAACTCTCTACATATATGGCTCTGGCTCGCAGGTTTCTCAGGTAGTATTGCTTTCCTGTGGTGAGCATATGCTCATTGAGAATCGCATTCAGTGGGACTAACCGGTACAGATTCGTCTGGCGTCGCACTCTGCTCGAGGAGGAGGAGGAAAGGAGGAGGATCGGAGAGGAGGAAAGAAGGAAGGAAAGGGGGAATAGAGAGAGAGAGGAGGGGGTGAAAAGGAAACTGGGAAAAAGCCCCCTAAAAGTTTGTTGTGTAAAAAAAAAAAAAAGTTAGGAACTTGGGGTTGGGGACGTCCCCCGGCGATTTTTGTGGGTACTTTGCTGTGGGGAAGCAGACGATTTGGAATGCGATATCTTCTTTTCACGTGCTTAGGGCATTCTAGCAGATTTAGAAACTCTGTTTCTGGATGTTTGACTAAACGCTGGTTGCTTACTGTTACAGATAATGAATTAGGTTAATATATTTAATACCCCGACTCAGCGCACTGTGTCGATTTCTAAGCGGAATAGGGACAGTCCCTTTAAAATAAGTTTGGGAAACAAATTTTTACCCAGGATTGACCCAGTCTCGAAAAAAAACTATAATTCCCGTTGTGAAATACAATAACAAAACAACCCAAATTCCAAATGCTAAGAAAGCAGCTCTACGAAATCAAAACCATTAATCTAGTACGTTCTTGAAAACCTGAGAAATAGCCCCAATGTGAAGAGCGTACGCTCATTGCTCCTGTGCTTCTGAAAGTCGTCTGCTTCCCCACAACAAACTACCCACAAAAAAATCGCCGGGGGACCTCCCCGACCGCAACTCCCCTTCTTTTTTTTTTCCCCAACAAATTTTCTGGGAGCCCTCCCCCAGTTTCCTCCTCACCTCCTCCTTTCCTCCTCTCCCTCCTTCTTTCCTTCTCCTCGTCGAGCGTAGTACGACGCCAGACGAATTTGTGCCGGACTAACTTGCTGCTATTATGTCGGAGTATGTGCTAGGCAGCATTGTCCTGACAACCTGCGCTCATCATTCGTGCTTTTTTTTTTTGTTGTTGAGTTTGAAATTTAAAAAAAAAACTATTTGCATATACAGTTTAGCCCGTTTATAACGAAGTCAGTGGGAATTGGAAACCACTTCGCTATATCCGCTATTTCGTTATAACCAAACTAAAAAAAAAAAAAATGGTGTGTGTGTGTTTATACAGTTTGAACTTAGTCTGTCTCAACGAGCTCTCAGCCGTAGACAAGCAATTTAGCCAGTGCAGTACAACTGCTAGACTGGGGTCTTTAATGTGCACCACGCAGTAGTCATACACGACCACACGTTGGTACAATGCTCATCCAGATCGAAACCGGCGGGGGTGGTGATTGAACCCGGGATCCCTGGGTTCTGCAACATAAAATATATCACCTAGGGGAACGTGTTTATTCCATCTACAGAGAGCCGTCCAAGGTTCCCCGCACGCGTTTCGCAAACGCATTGAAGGACCGCAGACTCGATGTCTTCGAACTGCGAGTCAAAGTTCGGATCGGAACATCCCACACACATTCGCAGCGTGTTGACCGCAGCAATGGCTGCTCCTGAGGTCACTGGCAGCGAGGCGCGGTCGTCGTCACAATCGTTGTCAGAAGCAGTGTCATTGGCATTTTCGTCCACGACACTTTTGGCAATGTCCTTGGTGGACGCATCCTCCATAGCGACGATGTCATCATTGTCGAAGACGAAGTTCCTCTGGTCCGAGCCAGGAGGCACGAGGTCCACCTTCGTGGCAGACTCCCAGAGCGGCCCCAAACACGTCGTCGCTGTGGCACCATCGCCTACTACTACTCCGTCTCCGGCAGAATTCGCAATACCACCGGTGCTTCTTGAGAAGCCACCTTTTTGGAAGCAGTGGAGGATGGTCTGTGGCTTAACGTCCCTCCAGGCTCCACTCGCAAAGGAGACAGCCTTCACCAATGGGACCTTCAGGCTGGCTGGGTTGTCGGTGGTGCAGATGTCGATGAGGAAACGCTCGGTCACTCAGCGCAGATAGCACACTTTGCAGTTTGCAGTGACACCTTGGTCCATTGTTCGCAGCTTCGTGGTCGTGTTTGGGAGCAGGAACAGCACCTTGATAGTGGACCAAGGGGAGCGTTGATGTGATGAGCGCCGCAATTGTCCAATAGGAGCATCACCTTGCACTTCTTTTTGTCCATTGCCTCGTCGAACTTTGTGAGCCACTTGCTGAAGATGTCTCGTGTCATCCAGGCCTTCGTGTTGCTCCTATATGCTACCGGCATAAACGGCACCTTAGCAAAGCCCCGTGGCTTCTTCACCTTGCCGATGACCAGCAGATCGCGCTTGTCCGAGCCGTCCACACTTCTGCAGATAAGCACCGTAATGCAGTTGTTTCTGTTGTAGCCTCCCACACGTTTGGCGGTCTTGGATGCTAGTGTCTTCGCTGGCAGCAGCTGAAAAAACAATCCGGTTTCATCCACATTGTAGATGTCCTTGTCGGCGTACATTCCAAGGATGCCCTCCAGGTTCTTGTCCATCCTTTTCTGGAGTGACAGATCGTCAACAGACGCGGCCTCACCGACAATTGGATTGTATGCGATGCCGTGCCCGTCTTTGAAGCATTGCAGCCACCTATTTCCTGGCTGGAAGTGGTCATGGCCAAGAACGATGCCCAAGTCCCTGGCTTTTTCTAGCATGATCAGTCCACTCAGCGGGATGTTCTTCGCACAGGCATTCCTGAACCACTTGTAAAGCTCCGCCAATATTGTCATCGGGATTCTTTTTAGATCACTGCTGCCAATGTCATCATCCGGAAGGCATCGATCTTGCTAGCGTTCTTGATTGGCATCGACAAAGTAGACTGCGCGATTTTTTTACTTTCGCATGATATCGCGAGTGTGCAGACGACGCTACAGTGTGTTAGCTACCCTAGCCGACTCTGACTAACTTCGGCGTCTCCAGCGGCAGTGTCTGTCATATCGCAATCATATTGCATGACAGAAAAAAAAGAGACAACGATGAATGGCTGCTAAAAGGTATGCCATCATCGACGTCACTTTTTTTCTTACGTTTGTTTTGGGGAGCCTCAAGGACACAGCGCCACATGAGATAGTGCGGTGAAGCAATCTTATAGGAGCTACGCGATAGGGAGAGCAGATGACGCTGCGGAGGCTGCCAGCAGCCGAAATGTGATCAGTTTTTTGCTTAAAATTTACCAGAATGGTTATAAATTATTGTCATTGATAGATATTTTACCGGGTTGGCACAGAATTTCTTTTCGTTTTATCCGCTGAAACTTGTTTTATTTATTTAGTTAAAACTAGAGCCAGATTGCATTGAAAATGCATAAATGAGAACGGGAAATCAGAACCTTTTTTGTTATAACCGCCATTTCGCTATAAACAGGTTTGTTATAACCGTGCTTGACTGTAACAAGCAAATTTATAGATCCCTTCGATTAGGATAGTTACAATTTTGTCGTTTAGATGCCACAGTTGAAAATATAGCTATGTTAAAATTAATTGAGCTTAGAAGTGGACAAGTGTAAGGTTGGAAACTAACTTTGCGAGTTCAGCTGAATTTTTGTTTAAGCATGCTGCACAGTAGTCAAAAGCTTAGAGAAACTATTCAATATTTGATTAGAAAACATTTGGCCAAAATCACTAGGTATTCACATTAAATTTGCTTCTAACTCAAGATCCACCATTCGCACTTGACTATTCATAAATATTACGACACGACAGTAAATTAAACGGGTTACGTACTCGTTGCAGACCTCGTAGGGTCGCGTCGGAGATTTAAACGCGCTTGGGGGATGTGGGTCGTTAGATGTTATTACTGTAGGAACTGTTTGGGCACGCTTTAAGTTTTATACAGAGGTAAGAGGTGACGTGCAGTCAGATCGAAAAAGGGATCTGCTTGGGTCAGTAGTTCTTGAGCATGTAAGAATTCCTAGAGCCCGTTCCTGTAACCGAATAATCGGTTCTATACTTTGTTTCACTTTAAGTCCAGACGCAACCGACTCTACGAGCTGGTGGTACCAATCATAGGGCTCCAAAAAGTGCACCATCATGGTGTTTGTCGTGTTCATGTACATGTTCTATTATAGCTGAACCATTCAGAAACAGAAAAGGCCTAGTGACTTGCGCTTTTGACGCCACTAGATTGGTCCCATTACCCGTAGCGTGAGCTGCGTCTGGACTTAAGCTGAGACAAAGTATAGATCTGTGCAATGCAAATGCTAACTAAAGCATGTGGAGAATAAAGAAATCAAAGCACTCTTGTGCCCTTAGCGCTCGAACGGAAGTTTTTTATTTGATTTTTTTGTGCATATCCTGTTCAAACGAGACACCCAAACCAGCTGCAACTGTGCATTACCTAAGTTTAAAGTTAATCCTTCATGGTGTATATTTCTTTCGGGATTGGAACAAAGTTAATGTTAAGAGTAAGTTGATTGTTTGTGAATCAAAGCAGAACCCTGGTCACTTTCTTTCCTCCTGTTCATAACTCGGGTAATGAACCCTGCAGTTCAGAAAGAGGTTTGGCCTAGGAGCAACACTGCTGTATGCATAACTTTCTCTGAGCCATTGGATCGTTTTTGCTCATAACTAGAACTGCTTCCAAGCAAACATTTACCACTTTCAGGTTATTATTTATTATGTGCATCGTACATGATAAAAGTGCAATGCACATGCACGTTAATTTCAAGAATTTGTTCTGTCGGCATGGACTGTCTTCCGTTTGCTCCAAACTATTCTGGCTACATGAAAGATTATGATGTTCTCTTCAAAACAAGTCTGTGTAATAATGTTGCCATAGTGTCTGAAGTGTAATCTCAGCCAATAATAATTAAAAAAAAAAATATTTCTTTACAAGGTTATGTGCATAGCGACACCTGAAGATCTTCTGAGTGAGAGGTTAAATAAGACAGACCATGCTCCACATAGTTAAAAGTCTGCCGTGCTTTGCCTGGTTTAGTTGTTGTGTCTGATTACTGCATCAGTTTGCACAGGTACAAAAATAATGCAGTAATGGGCTATACTGTTAAGCACCCTAACAAGTGCTCGACATGTGGTAATAATGGGATTTATGAACCCCTCCCAAGCAGTGTCAGATGACTAGGTTACAAATGTTGAAGTGGCAGGATTGTTTCCTGCATCTTCTCATAAGGCTGTTTTTTAGAGCATGAAATGCTCTTTAATGAAGCCCCCAATCCTAAAACATTGTTCGTCCATTCGTCACATGATGTAAACACAAATTCTGTTTCCCCGCTAAGTTTAGTGGGAAAAGTTGTTATCACGTAACCTGTTCACCAATCCAGTTTTCCCGCTAGATTGGGTGTGGAAACTACACAAAAGGCGGCCCATATAACTTAAGGCAAAACTTAATTGTTAAAACTCGTTCACACACAAATTATGGAGACCAGAGGTTCAGTTTTCTAATACCAGACCATTTAAATCAAAACCCAATTATTTTAGATATCCTAAATAGCACCCAATCATTCCGAAATTAAAAAAAAAGATATATAAAATACCTATTATTTACAAAGCAATAAAGCCACTGCGGCATATTTTGTAAATTTTTGAAGAGTTATGATATATGCTAGTATATTGCAAAAGTGTGTATTTGAGATCTGTTTGGAGCAAAATGTATAGTATATCTGATTAGCAAATTTCTGTTTCACCTGCTCTTTGTTTTGTTTTGTAAGGACTTATATTCTATAAGGTAACTTTCTTTGTGTTTTATATTTGTATCCACTGCTGCTAAGAGGGTGGCATGGCCCCATGCAGACACTCAAAGTGCCTTTAGTCATGATGTCCCCCAAGACAATTCTATACAAGGTTGTCTTGAATAAACTTAAACTCAAAATATAAGTTCTTCACTCCCCGAAACAACTGTCCAATGTCTTTAAAACAAATTTAAATGTTTGGTCTTTAAATACTGCATTACATCGTGAGACCTTAGGGATAAGGGTCGCTGACAATTGTTTCTTTTTCCGTAATTTGTTTGCAAAATGTCGTAGCACTCTTTCTTTGTGAAGCACTGCTAGCAACATTGTTCAGAAATGAAACTATTAACATCATCTATCTATTCATCCATCCATCCATCTATCCATCCATCCATATTGCTTGCTAGACAGCCACTCAATGGCTCGCAGAAGTAGAAACAGCATTGGCACGAGTTGTTGGGAGCCAATCCAATCCAATACTTCTTTCCTTATTAGTGATGACTGCACCTCGAGAGGTCGCGCTTACCACCGCTTTTTCTGGTGATCCAGGCGTTCCGGGGAGAAAGAGGCTGCCATCACACGTCTGCAAGACGAGAATGCAGACCTCCGAAAGCTGGAAGCACGTGCCAAGGTCTGTAGTTATCGTTGCTACCTGTGCCTGGAGGGACCGTGGAGTGATTTTTAATGTTACTGTATAATGCTCGGAGTACCGTATTTTCTGGACCATAGTCTTCAAGCTATCCATCTTCAGAATTTGCTATTCTGTGCCGTGCAGACTATCTAAAGGTGTGGATCATCGAATCGATCTTCCAAAACCGCCAGTTATCAGCGGGGTTATTGACTTTTGCAGTTGTCGAGATCACTTTGTTTTACCTTGGGCATTGCTCGGGAAGAAAAGCCGGGGCTGTCAGTGTGCCGTTTTCGCCTTCTATGCGCCCGTGGGTAACGTGCAGGGTAGCTGTGCCCAAGCAGACAGTGTGGATCACGCTTGATCTTGATGGCGTGAGCACTTACTGCTTTTCGTTGTAATATCATTACCCCTGGCAGATAAATAAGTGACTGTGCAGTATTGGGAACCACTGTCGCAATGCCTCTGAATTCAATTGGTACGTTCACACCCGTTTCTGTGTGTTGTGAAACAATAGGAACTATGAAAAGATGTGTTTCCAGGGCAGAAACTCCTGGCAATTCAAACTTTGCCTTATTTGAACAAAGTTCTGGTCCCCCTTGGGCTCAAATTAACGAGATTCCACTGTAATGACAGCATTTTTAACGAGAGTAACTACCTGTTGGAGACTATGCTTGGGAGACAGACTATCCAAGGAAAAAATTTATTTATTTATTTACTTCGTGCTTTGGGCTTTTGTGTGGAAGATCAAAGGCAGTTGATTCACTCTTTAGCCACCAACTCGGCTCTGAAGAAAATAAAGGCCACGTCTCTTCAACGAAGTGGGTGCCTTAACACCTAGTAAGACAATGGACAAAGTTGAGAATAAGCAACGAAAAGTCTTCAAACACAAGCGAAGAGTGGCCACAGATTTGGGTAAAGCCACGGAGAAAATAAATATACTAAACAAAGTGGAATACTTCCTTTGGTTTGGTTGTTTTGGCTCTTAACCAGGGTATTTTGGTTTGCGTTTTTAGGGTCTATTTTCCACCTATGTCGGGGCTGTTTTCCCGGGATCAGTTTTTTCACACAGGTGTTGTGTTCTTCGGTGTCGGACAAAAAGTGTGCATTTATCTGAGCTCATATTGAAGAAAACAGGACACGGGCATAAGACTCCCCCACCTCCAGGGAACATACACGTAACCCAAATTCTTGGAAAACGTCCCAGTGCTGACAAGAGTTGCAAACAAGATGAGGGCCTCCCAAAGAAAGAAACAGCTTCGCAGACAGTTCAGTGCAGGTTGTGATCTGAGTAAACTCAAAAGAAAGCCGTGGATAATTATTTGTTCCCACAAAACTTGGGTTTTTTCTCATTCAGGGACAGTTACATTTCGGGAGTTCTCAATTCTCTCCGATTTGGATAAAACCGGCTTGGGGGGGGTTTCTTTTTTGGGTTTCTCAGTATATACCTGAAACATGGAACCCTAGTTATAGGTCGACTTCCCCTTTCCCACTGTAGGTTTTACTGTCTGTAAAATGTGGGTCAATCTACCGGGTTGGATCGACAAAATGAAGCCGTCTTTTTCGGCCCGCATTAATGAACCATGCGCTGCAGAATGCTGAAATTCTGTCGGAAAGTAATGTCGGGGGTGAAAATGGGATACGGAAGTTTCAGAACGGGATGCTATTTGGATCAGAGGGCAAAGAGGGAAAGACGAAATTTCCCTGCGACCCGACATCCACCTTCCTTAGAATACTGGAGGCGCATCCACCCATTTCACACTAAGCGCCAATCCCCAAATTTGTAAGATCTGAGAAAACTAGCAGAGTACATTTATATATCTAAAATTGACAAGTAGACAAGTGCCCATCCCCCATTTTTTCGCAATTATCTCCTAATCTTGATTGGGCGCCTGCCCGGTATTTTACAGCATGTCTAATTTCGTCAAAACAAGAAATGCCATTGTGGGCAGCTGTGGCAATCATTTAAATGAAACCAACTTGTCAGCAAGAGAGATAATACTGTTGTCTTTCTTGCTGGCAAGTTTGTTTTACTGAAATGAATGCCAGGCGTGCCCACAAGGTTGCTCTTTATTTTGACGAAATTAGGTACAAGGGAATGTCGGCTCGTGGAGAAGTCTTTCCCTTTTATCTTTTGATGTAGGTAATGTTGCATTTTGAAATCTTTGCATCCTAGCCCCACCACTGGCGTCATAATCTTTCTTTAATGCATAGTTTATTTATGTGGACCTGAAAACCGGGTTTTATTTTCTCGACCGAACCCGTTACAATGGACCTCTTGGCGAATATGTGCTGCCACCTAGACACGCGACTGGGTACGAGGCTAAGTGGCTAGAAAATAACGCGCGCGCAAGGCCTCTCCCACCTGTTGCACTCCCAAAACGTCAGCGACATTCTGTTTACCCATTGAGGCGCTGTGACCTAGATACGGCTCCCCCAAACTCGCCTTTGTCCCCGGCGTGCGTAATCTTCCGCCCCGAAGTCGAGGCAACGAAACCATCTTCCCTCTCTGCTCAGCCAGAAGCAAGAGAGAGGGGGTACTGGAACCATTTACCCTTGAACCGATTATTCTACAAAAGGTCTATTGTGTTAAGTGTTCTACGGGGTGTCCCCAAAATATATTTATAGGTCTTTTTTCGCCTCAGAAATAAACTACCGTAATATCCCGAGCCATCGCCCACCTCCCTGCCGCGTGAAATTCATTAAAAAAGTGGGGTGGGCCATGTCTCGGTGGGTGAGCACAAACACTTGAAAAAAAGCGGAAAAAACCGCCTATTTTTCTCTGTGTATCTAGCGCTGATGCACAAGAGATACATCAAACTCAAAACTCGATTTAGTTTGATTGTTTTATAGAAAAAAATGCTCACGAAAGAATATTTTACTATAGCGAAGTCCGTTGCTTGCATACGCGCCAGAAACACCGCCGATCTGCATATAGCGCGAACGTTTGTTCCGTGAAAGAATGTCACCACTATGTTCTCCTAGTTAGTAAAAAAAAAAAAAAAAGTCTACAAGAAAATAGAAAAACCAACCAGGCGCAACGAGCGAGCGAGCGAGCGAGGGGACCAAAGAAGCGACAAAGAGCGATGCTGGGAAAGAGGGAAAGCCGGCGGTCGCGTTGGCAAATACTTTGGCGTCGGGCCAAGTCGGGCGCCTTGTCAATTGCAAGCTCTTGCGCAACTTTCTTGTTTGGCGCAAACATACGTGCGTCCGTGCACGGCGGGCTATCAATGCACGGTTGGGACGCTCTGCAAACGTCTGTGTAGGGCGTTCCAGCAAAGCTTTATTTACGCGTTGGCTTTGCCTAAATATTGCACAACCGCGGTCGCGACGGGCGGGAAGAAGGAGCGGGTTCGCGGTGACCGAATTTCGTAAACAAAAAGAAGTGTCTTTCCCTCCTTCGTTTTACTTTGTCACGGACGTCCTCCAACTGTAAGGTCCGCGGCCGCGTCATTCGGTTAGGATGAGTGTTCGCCGATCGCTGAGTCCGCGCTGGGGTATTTGAAGGGGTGGGCGATGACTCGGTGTTTATTCGGAAATCGATATTGGCCCAAAAAATGGGGCGGGCGATGGCTCGGGGATGGGCGATGACTCGGGATATTACGGTATGTGCATCTCCGAATGCTCCTTCTTTGCCCAAATGTAGCACTCTCAGTCTGAACCGGATGCCAAAGCTTCAGAACTGTAATCTTATTAAAAAGTTAGAAGTGATTCTTTGAAAATATGATTGCCAAAATGGCGGTTGACTGTGCCCTCAAATACATGGAACCGAATGGCGCCGGTTACCGAAAACATTCCCCGCTTCACCGTCGAAATTTTCTGAAAATTGCTCATAACTTTTGAAGGAGATAACGGTTGTTCCGAAACTTTGGCATCTGGTTTGAACCGGTAGCACTATATTTTGGTGGAGAATGAGTGTTCGGCGATGCATGGTTCATTTTTGCGGCAAAAAAAAAACACTCAACTTTTTGGGGGAGGACAGGTCGTACGCTAAGAGGCCCCGAGCACCGAAACGTGCCCCCTTGCAGGACCTGCAGCGGAGGCTGGACGAGCTGAAGGAGGCGGAGTCCCTGGCACGCATCATGAAGGAGGAGCTGAAGAGGCTGCCCTGCGTCGAGAAGGAGCTGGCACAGCTGCAGGAGGAGGTGAAGCTCCACAGGTGGGTCGCTGATGCCTCCCTCCCGGATGGCTCACGTTCGTGGCTCTCAAACTACCGCCAGGCTTTGGTTTGCATCTTTGTGGTTTTTTTTTTTTTAGGAGCGAAGCTCCTTAGAGGCTGGCCATGTCCGTATGTCCGTCCGCCGTCGGGTCACGAGCACGTCAGCACATGCTCCTGTGCTTGTGTAGGGGGAAAAAAAAAAACGCATCTCCACGTGGTAAATGATGTTGATTGGGGCGAAGCTCTGGTGGTGCTTGTCTGCGTGGACGGTGAGCCGCAGCAGGCCGAGCCTTTCGTTCGTTTTCCTCCATGTCAGAAAGAGAGTGTGTGGTATGGAACATGGTTATATACGCATTTGAGCATTTGACCGCAGCGTGACATGGATGAAAACGAACGAAAGGCTCGGCATGCTGCAGCTCAGCGTCTACGCAGACAAGCACCACCAGAGCTTCGCCCCAATCAACATCATTCACCACGTGGAGATGTGATTTTTTTTTATGTCAAGACTTGTTCACACACTCGCACTTGCTCACGGCCGACATTTTTATCTCTTGCAACGAGAGAACATGCGTGCGCTGTCTATGAGGTGATCCTGGAACTTCGTTTCACTGAAGCGAAAGTTTTGTGGTATCTGCGAAATAAAACCTACATGCTTTCTGTGAGAAATAGTTGTTTATAGCGCTGACAAAAGTTATTCGAGCCAATTATGAAATAATGATGTGAAATAGGGAATTACACAGAAATCTCGAGCATTCCACCTCTACTTGACGGATGGCACGTGTGTTCTCTCGTCGCAAGAGATCACAAGAAATTGGAAGGCACTCGGTCATTAACAGTCGCAAGTGTCGGAAGGATCCTCGATGCTTTGTAACTACGGTTCCCGTGTTTTCAAACACATCCAATCGACTCCGAAAAACACTTACTGGTAAAATTTTTTAAGCCAGATTTATCCAAAAAACTCGGAATTTCGAGGCTACAACAACAAAAAATATCCACACAAGTTTTTTGTTTTTTTAAATATATTTATTTAGTTATACTACTTGGCCCATACAGGGCCTTGGTAGGAGAGGCACAGCAATGCAAAGAAAATTCAACACATTTACACATTGATGAAGACAAAAACGCCACTGAGATATTGAATCAAATAATAAATACCCAATACAGTCTACGCTCATTACAACAGACCTGGTTACAACAGACATTTGGATATAACATACCGATTTGTGAAGTTCGGTTGGTTTTCCTCTACATACCATTGACTCAACTTCATATCTGCATACAACATACTCCTCTTACAACGGACCGAAATCTTGGTCAAAATGAAGGTCTGTTATAACGAGCTTAGACTGTATATACAAGGATATCACAAAATAACAAATCTGAAAACGTTCTATTTTCTTAAGTAAGCAGTGTCTCTATCACTGAAATAGTCAAGAGAATCTGAATTTGCCAGGTCAGCAGGCAACCTGTTCCAGTCAACAATTGATCTGGGGGAAAAGAGATTATTTGAATATGTCCATTTGAACTTGGTACTCTATTATTGATCGTGCAAGACATGATGTGGTGTTTATTCTGCCCAAAAATTTTATGTAGTTTGTTTTGTCTATGTTTATTTTGCCATGAATCATTAAAAAAAAGAGTCCAAGGTACATCTAAGCACTCCTTGTGAGTTGTAAATACGAAAGCATGCGCGCTGCTCTTTTGCTTCCTTATTCCGTCTACGGCGTACTTGCGTCGACAAGGTGCTTTGCGAGCCGCTGCTTTGCGGATTCGCAGCGCCATGGGGTGGCGGTCGTTGAAACTGACGTGCAGTGGCCAATGGGAGCCTCACTTCTTGGAACTATGACGCACGCCAGCCAATGGGACCGAAGCCGAAATCCATCAGCTTTACTCCGCTCCTTTGGGATCGGGGAAACTAGGTGCTGTTGTCTAGGCTTTTCGCGTGGTTTCATAGCTGGGAGCTGGCTTCACTTGGAGAAAGGATTTAAGGTGCCGTTTGGCGCGGCTTCAAAGCTGATGACGTCGACTCGCTCCATGGGACAGTTAATGCTTTCGCTTCAATAAAATCTTTAGTCTGTCTATTCGTGCCCGTTCACTTAACGTAAGGTCATTTGCCTGTTGCAACATTGCCGATGGAGAACTTGGCGGGTCATATTCGTGGTATATGAAGCTTATCACGCTTTCTTTTGTATGCTTTCTAGCTTATTTATATTCGTTTTAGTGAACGGGCCCTGCACCACATTTGCATATTCTAAGATTGCTCGTAATAAAGTTTTGTAGACAGTAAGTTTCGCGTTGGGCGAAGTTTCGCGTTGGGCAATGTAATCGATGTGCTTGTTCCGTAACAGTTTGTTATTAAAATTTAACCCCAAATACTTCCACTCTTCAACAGTTTCAACTATTTGACCATCAGTGTGATACGAAAATTTTTTGGGACACTTTTTCTGCGTAATTGACATTGATACAGTTTTAGAACTAGTACGCAACTCCATTTGCCATTCCCAACATCAAGCAAGTATCTTTTCCAAGCATTTGTCCCAAGTTAATTGATCTTGCAATGTTTTAACTTTGTTGTATAGAACACTATTGTCTGCAAATAACCTAATCTTGACATCTATATTTTTAGTGATATCATTTATGTAGAGAAGGAAGAGCAAGGGCCCCAGAACAGACCCCTGGGATGCACCGGAGTGAACGTGGTTAGATTCATAGCCTTTAAAATACACATACTGTTCTCGCTCCTTTAGGTAGGAGGTTAACCATTTCACAATTTATTAGAGTTGAAGGGACACTGACAGGGTATTTATTTATGCTCGCCAAGGTTTTTACTTGTACATGACATATGAGAGCCCAACTATTTAAAACACAATTTGCGGCTCGAGATTTGTTTTTTTTTCGCCCAAAAGCCGCTAATCGAAAACTGGCCGGTTTGAGTCTCGCTCACTGTCTTCTCCGTAGTCACAAGCCGTTTTCTATGGTTTAGACACAACCACCAAAGATAATCAGAGCCGTGGGTCACCGAAGGCACAAACTCAATACTAGATATAGACTGAATTAAGACACCCATTTTTTCTGGCTTCTAAAAAATTGCAAATATGTTGACTGAAAAAAAAAATAAACTGCGCAGCCACGTGATCTCCGGTAACTTTCTTCTCCTCTATATTTCTTCTTCCTCCCCAGTCCAGTTTCGGTTTTGGTTTCGAGCAGTTGCATTCTTTGGCAATGGGGATTATTAAAAGTATATGTGACACTGTAGCAAAATATTGATTGGGTAGTCTTCTAACACCATAATGAATTGCCTGGCAAAAAATAAAAAAATAATTTTGGGGGGGCGTCAGTGTCCCTTAAAGTATGATATTCAGTTTTAGAAGAAGCTTGTTGTGGGGAACTTTATCAAATGCCTTGGAAAGGTCTTTGATAAAGTTTTGTATGACTTGATCCGAAAATGAAAATTGAATTGAAAATTGAATTGAATTGAAGAATAATACATCAACTTGTCCTCTGTTATTGATTATTTGACGAAGATCATGTGTTATTTCTTATAACTGGGTTACTGTAGACAAGCCTTCTTCTAAATCCATGTTGACAGGTATCCAAGATATTGACTTTTTCAATATACCATATTTATTTAAATACAAGTCAACCTCTTTTTTTTTTTTGGAAAAAGTCAAAAATTAGCAGTTGATCTAGAATCGGGATTAGAGAATTTCGACCTACATTGGTGACCAAATTTCACGAGTAATTTTAACTTAAAACGGAAGAAACACACAAGACGACGAAACAGCGGCTTTCGACTTGCAACGACAGATTTACTGGGGCGGCTAGCCGCTCAGAGCTCGACATGGGGAGGCGATGGGGAAAGGGGGAGGGGGATGAGGGGAGATGTAAGAAACACAGGGAGACCATTGCAGGGGCGAACACAGCGGGCGGTCAGGAGTCTGGTCTGTGTTGCCTGCCTCGTAGATGACACCTTGCGTCGCTTCGTGCCGTCGGGGGTGCGGAGGAGAGCGGGGGTGGAGAGCAGCAGGAGGAGGAGGGTGGACGTCTCGGAACTCCTTGGGGAAGGGGCAAGACGGACCAGAGGGTCAAGCGAGAACAGAAGGCGAGAATAAGTAAGAACAGAGGGCGGCTTTCCTGGGTTGTTTTTGTTTGCTGCTTTTTTTCCAAACCTGCAAGCTCCAGTGCCTTGCGGGCTAGGAGCTCCCCACCCTCGAAGGGAAGCGAATCTCTCTCTCCGAGAGTGAAAGGGAAGGGCTGCAGAGGTTTGTTGTCGCCGACTTGATGCTGACAGATTCTATTATTTCTCTCCCGAATCAAGATCGGTGTCCAGCTATGATTTTTGTTTGAGTGAACTGGGGTGTGCAAGAGGGGCAGTTTTTTGCATTGACAACGACCGGATGCACGGAATCCTCGGGCGGGCTCGTGATCTCCCTCGCGTGTTCACGGAGACGGTCGTTGATATATTGGCCCGTTTGACCGATGTATTAACCACCGTCCCCATGAACACGTGAGCGAGATCACGAGCCCACCCGGGGATTACGTGCATCCGGTCGTTGTCCATGCATAAAACTGCCCCTCTTGCACACCCCTTTTCACTCAAACAAAAATCAAAGGGAAAAATCATAGGGACATAGAATCAAGTCTTTAAAAGTCTTCAGTAACTTTGCCATTTATATTAAATGCATTACCAAGCCCTTGTTTGGGATGATAAATACTTCCAAAACGTTGCTGTGACGATTTCGGGAAACCCTCTGAAGTAGATTTATGATAGCAAAACTTTGGCTCAGATAACATAATCCTATGACATAGTTTAACAATGTGTTTAGTTACGTCAGACGCAGTGGCTGTGGCCCTTTTACGAGCACTCGAGACCCTTCCCTTCAAGTGTATAATGTCGCGGTTTATCCATGGTCGCTTATGATGAATAGTCTTTGTTTTGCATGGGACGAAATTTATTACACACTTAGGCTCAAGATTTTTAGAGCTGAGCCAAAGTGCATCTATATTGATATTGCAATGTTCTGAAATTATTGCCAAACTCATCAAGTGACCAGTCCACTGTATCTATAATACTAACTTCGTCTGCACTGGCAAAATCGAGCACTTTAGTCTTCTTAGACTGAGGCTTGTGGGTATGCAGGGGCAGCTCTAGCAACACCAGCTTCTGGTCAGGAATTCCATCTTGTACTTCAACAGGAAATTTTTCATACTCACTGCTAAGAAAAATGTAATCAAGTATTGACATTGTATTTCCCTGAACTCTGGTGGTATAAGATGGCACAATCTGGTCTAGGTCAAACGTGAACACGATGTCTGAAAGACATTCTGCGCTCTCAGTTTCTTTTAGACCGGTTGACGGAGTGCCCCAGTTCATCAAAGGGAGATTAAAGCCTCCTGCTAATATAATTTTACGGTCGCTTCTACAATGCTTCAAGGGATAAGCTCCTGTATCTTCTAGAATGGCAAGAGGTCTATAAATAAGGCTCCCACTACTAAGTAAGAGTCATCAACTTTTACCTTACACCAAAGAGCTTCTGCCTGTTCTCCCATGTCAACCAAAGAAAGTCTGGATTTAAACACATAGCAACACCCCTGCCCATGGTTTGTCTGTCTTTTCTAACCATTTTACAACCTGCAAGAGCAATTTCATTGTTCATTATGTTTCCGTTAAGGTAAGTTTCAGTTATGACAACAATGTCAGGATCATACACCAGCAAAATGTGTCCCAGCTCTAACACCTTGTTTATAATACGTCTTGCATTTAAGTTTATAATTTTTAACGTCTGTAGCTTTGGATGAGCATCTTGGGGTTTTTGTCCTTTTGCATTCGGACCATCGCATTGATAAGCTTTTGTCTCGAATGTGGTCCCAGCCTTAAGTTATGTTGCCTGCTATCATCTTATCAAATCTCATCTTAATCTTAACACTACTGTTGAGACCGGTTATTACGAAGTCGGTTATAACGAAATAGCGGCAACAGCGAAGCGATCACACTTTCCCATTCCCTTTTGCAATTCGTTATAACCGAAGTCGGTTATAACGAAATAGCGGATATAGCGAAGTGATTTCCGATTCCCGTTGACTTCATTATAACAGGTCTCGACAGTATTCTCTCTTTCTGCTTGAGAACTTTTTCAGAGACAACTTTGCCCTGTCCTAACACCGCAGTTTTTTTTATCTTGGACTATTGACAAAAGGGAGTTTCTCATTTATCTCGTCAAGGTCCCTTCATTACAACGGGCTAATGTACTTATGCACTTATGGACCACGGCAAAAGCCACTATTCCGATTCTGCAGTTTGGACCATACTATTTGTGCTTAGGGGGAGCAGGGGTTTTGTTTTTATAACAGTGAACGATGTGAACCTATAGATTTCATAGGATGGGGAGGGCATCTACAGTTTTGATGCGTCCAGGAGTTTGGCTATTTATAAGTACCAACGTTTATTGAGGTAACACTTGCTTTGAAGATTTGTCATTGGACAGTTACTACTGCCACCTGCAAGGTTGCCAATGCCAAATGCAACTGCAAGACTATCTTTCAAAGCCTTTGATTTCTTTTTGTGATTTTGTCCAGACATTATTTATTTTTTGTTTAAAAAGAAAATAATAACACAGTAAAATTAAGCTTTGGATTTTGGAGAACTTGCAAGCTAACAAAACTAAACTTGAAAAAACATTCTCCGAAATATACACAAAAAAATAAACTCCTAAAACACGGAATCCTATCTATTACGCAAGCCCCTACCCTCAGAGATCTGTTTGTCCGTCCATCTGTGCAGGCTGTTAAACGTCGAACGCGAGGTTTGACGTGAAGTCTTTAAATAAGACTGGCGAACTTTCGAACCTTTAGCAAAGTTAGACGGAATTCCACTACGGGAAAATGTTGCCCGACTTCTGCACAAAAGTTTTGAATATAGGGAGACAAGTAACCCATAAACTTGTTTATTCTATACCTTGTAAAATGATTACCAATGTTTGCACAGTATAAAATCAAAAAGAAAGGTTTATTATGATGATGATGAAAGATATGTGCAATTAATGCTTTAGTTAGTTTTGTTTTTAATGCTAAACAAGCAAATATTGCACTTTTTTTTTCGCCAGGTGGCACGAGCTCGTTTTCAAATTTTTGCACATGCTCGCACGAAAGTCAAGCTTTAGTTGAACTTCAGTATTATTTTTGTTAAACTTCAAGGACGCCAAACCTGCAGGATTGCAGCATCCCTGCCTTCTACTAGAGATAAGGAAACAATTCATCCTTCGAGTGCATAGAGGTAATGTAATGATCTAGAGGGTAAAGTCCCATGCATTTTGGCTGCTTCAGAAGAGCTTGGCATAGACACAAACAGCTGTGATACACACAACGAAGCAGGAAAGCATCACTTGCAAGGTCTTCATCTACCGTAATATCCCGAGTCATCGCCCATCCCCGAGCCATCGCCCACCCCATGTTTTGGGGCAATATCGATTTCCGAAAAAACACCGAGTCATCGCCCACCGCTTCAAATACCCCAGCGCGGACTCTGCGATCCGCAAACACTCATCCCACCCGAATGACGCGGCCGCGGACCTTACAGTTGGAGGACGTCCGTGACAAAGTAAAACGAAGGAGGGAAAGACACTTCTTTTTGTTTACGCATTTCCTCCGTGAGCGACCCCAAAGTGGTCGTGTATCCGTGCGAAAAGAAAATGATGGAGATAACAAAATAAGAGTTTGTTAATGTAACCGCGGAGTGTTAAGTCAAAGTCTGTCTCCGCCGAAGTAAGGACACCGCGAACCCGCTCCTTCTTTCCGCCCGTCGCGACCGCGGTTGTGCAATATTTTAGGCAAAGCCATCGCGTAAATAAAGCTTTGCTGGAGCGCCCTACACAGACGTTTGCAGAGCGTCCCAACCGTGCATTGATAGCCCGCCGTGCACGGACGCACATATGTACGCACCAAACAAGAAAGTTGCGCAAGAGTTTGCGATTGACAAGGCGCCCGACTTGGCCCGACGCCAAAGTATTTGCCAACGCGACCGCCGACTTTCCCGCTTTCCCAGGATTGCTCTTGGTCGCTTCTTTGGTCCACTCGCTCGCTCGCTCGTTGCGCCTGGTCGGTTTTTCTATTTTCTTGTAGACTTTTCTTTCTTTTCTTTTACTAACTAGGAGAACATAGTGGTGACATTCTTTCACGGAACAAACGTTCGCGCTATATGCAGATCGGCGGTGTTTCTAGCGCGTATGCAAGCAACGGACTTCGCTATAGTAAAATATTCTTTCGTGAGCATTTTTTTCTATAAAACGATGAAACTAAATCGAGTTTTGAGTTTGATGTATCTCTTGTGCATCAGCGCTAGATACACAGAGAAAAATAGGCGGTTTTTTCCGCTTTTTTTCAAGTGTTTGTGCTCACCCACCGAGACATGGCCCACCCCACTTTTTTTAATGAATTTCAGGCGTAGGGGGGTGGGCGATGACTCGGGATATTACGGTAGTGTTTTTCTATGTTTATTTTGTGCATAAATACCGGCATCGCGCGTCGTATGGACTCGAACAACTTCTACTCTTCCCGGCAAAACAAACATGCCCGGCCTGTTGTCTGCTTTCTTTTTCCGCTTTTCTGTCGGGTCTCTTTCTCGTTCTTCCTCTCGGAGCCACTCGATGTCGGTGCTCACGACTTTCCGTGTTCTGCTCACGTCTTTACTCTCCCATGCGAGCTAGAGCAGACGAGTATGTTGTTTGCAGACGAGCGCGGGCCAACGTGCAGCTGGTCCAGGAGCAGATGCTGTCCCTGAAGGCAGACGCCGGCCGGACGGAGGAGCTCCAGCAGACGTGCAGCCGCCAGCAACTGGAGCTGGAGCAGCTCCGGCACAAGCTCGGCCTGTGGCAGTCCCTGGCTGGGGAGCCCCACAGACTCGGGTGCGTGGATGGTGTTGTGCACAGGGTACCCCAGAAAAAAATCTACGGTGTTTTTTCACCGCAAAATTAAACTGCCATATCTTCCCAACTGTAGTCCGTACCCAGTGTATAGTCCACCGGTAAAACATTTTCATACATATGGAATGCCTGCTTCACTAGCTCACAAGGAAGCTTGTATCGTACATGTATCATGACTAACCTTATCTTTAATTCATAGAATTTGTATACATGCGTCAACTAGTCCAGCAGCATAGATTACTAGATTTTGTCTTTAATTTGTATTATGCTTTCCTGATGCAAAGGGATGTAAGCCTCAGTTGGCCTGCTATGCCTTTACTTTGTTATTTTTGCTGATGATTGTTATATCTCAGACTTGTTTGTATATTAAGGGTACCATTTGCTCAATTTGCTAATATTTTATGTGCATGATTTCGCAATGACTTGTTGACTGTAGCGCATGTAAAATCTGCGTCTATTCCTACTATTATCTTTCTTGCGATGGGCAGTGCTTCTACGTAAATTAATGCAGTGATTCTCAAGTATAGTGTGTCGGGGGCCTCTTGGGAACCTGCCAAAGTGGTGGGGGACTCCATGCAAGCGGGGGAGGGGGAAAGGGGGGTATAAAATTGACTACTGTGCAAAGAAAAGGGCATCCTTTACTTTATAGAAACTGAAGAACATTCTCTTTTTCAAGAAAAAAGGGGGGTTTGAGGGTTGAGGCAAGGAACCCCATTTGAGAACCACTGAATTAAAGAATAAGAAATAAATATTGAACTTAAATACAACAAACCCTCGTATATGATGGGTGTCCTTACATTGCAGAGCACCTTCGTTGGTGGCAAAAAAAAATAATCTGGCATCTTTTACCAAACATTTTTGTCCTAACCGCATATTTTCTTACCCTAGGAGCCCCACAGCAGTGCTGCAGTGTCTGGCTGACCTAAGACGATCGGAGTTAGCGCTGACCGAACGTCAGTCTAAGCTCATGGCTGAGTGAGTATCACACCAAACAATGAAGCTCCCACTTCCACTTCTAGGTCATCTTAAGGCTCATTCACGTGGCACATCTTTTTGGCGAGTCTTGTGTCTCAAAACAGATGTGCCATCTGAACAAGACGGGAAAACATGCACGCCTTAGAATAAGCGTATTCCACTTCTCGCTCTTTTGAGCAAGACTGCTGAATCTTTGCTGAGGCCTGTCAATCTTGCTGAGGAGAAATGCAGATGCTGCCAATAGGCGGTCAACAACGCTATGACTAGGGTTCCTTGTTTTCTGAGTTTATTTCGCGTGAAATTCGGAGGGTGTTTTTCTGAGTTTATTTTCCGCTGAAAATTTGGGGTAATCAGAGTTTCTTTTTGTTAGATTCACAATTTTCTGAAATTTTAAGTTTATTTTACTGCATTCCCCAATTAAAAAAAAAAAATCAAGCGTGAGTATTGTAAACCCTTTGTCCTGAAGGAACCTTGACGGGCTAAAAGGCGAACCCTTTTTGTTAGTAGTTCAAGATTTTAAAAGAAACAGAAGTGGCATCTCCTCAGGACCACTGACTCAGTGTTCTTATGAGTAAAGTTTATTCTAAAAAAAATATATTTTTTTTTTGTGACCTCGAAATTTTGAGTTTTTCAGATAAATCCAAATTGACGGAAAAGTTACCAGCGAGTGTTTTTCTGATTTTTGGGGATTTATCCGAAAACACGGAACCCTAGTTATGACGTGTCATCACCGACGCTGAGCGACCTTTCGACGGAGCCTGATAATTGACCGGTCTCGTATCGTTGCCAAATCCGAAAAAAAGAAAGCAAACGTTGCAGCGAGCAATGACAAAGAGCAGAGAAAATTAGGCGCGTGCGAATACTCGAATATACAAATTCGAAACGAATAGAAAGTTCCCAAATAATTAGATTTGCGAATCGAATTCCTAGTATTCGGTCACTCGAATATTCAATATATTCGGCCAAAGACGTGCGGTCGGCACGGAGCTGACAAAAAAGCCGTTTTTTCTGCCGATGTTAGCACCGTGATGTTAGGCAGACCATGCGAGAAACACCTCTTGGTCCTACCACTCCACAAAAATCTAACGCACAGGTTAGAAAAAAAAAAATAATGAATGCCACAAACTTTATAGCACGCAGATTTACTCACGATTGTTGCACAATCTAAGCTCGAATCAGAACCGAAACACCCCGTTTACGCCGCTTCCAGAGAGGAATTGTTGGGAAGCCGGAATTTCGTGCCATGCCTAATTCGTTTCACTAGTAAAGCCTCTCGTTTCAAATGGAAGCGCCGGTGTAGAACACTCTTGCCGCACTTACAGAAATCGGCGACTGCACGATCACAGAAAGAAAACCACGTTAACCACGCCGATGAAACCAGCCGAGTTATCGTCGTCGTTCTTCTGGAACCGCAAGCCGCAAATTTTGATTCGGAACGAAATGGAAAAATAGTGTGCCTAGATTTGAGAGGGTTTCCAACCGTTCGCTAGCCGCGTTTGAATTACGAACTGCGAGAAGGTGACGAAAAGATGAAAGCGTTGATCGGGATCGGGCAGGCAGGACAGGTGTCGTCGCTCTCCAGTTTGCTCGCCTTCTTTCCACACGGCAACAGAACACATGCGCACTTGCGACCAATCTGCGCAGGAGCCGTCTCCGTTGTTTCTGTTCTGCTTGCACCCTCTTTGAAATCTAGGCTCTCTAAAACAGGATAGATGGACGGAGGAATGGATGCATAGCCGCAGTTGGATGGTGACTTGCGCCACCAACCACATGTTTGTTTTTTTTGCTTCAGATTATATTGTTTAAAGGAGCTGTGCAACGATTTTAACGTTGAAAGAATTGGCATTTTCTGCTTTTGATATTTTTCACCGTGCCACAAATGGCAGAAAACACACCTCTTTTCATCGAAATGTTGCGATTCCGCCGCGTAATAGCGAGGCAAAACTTAGAATATTCCATGACCTGCAGCCACGAGCGGCGGCCATGAGAAACAAGCGGCGGGACGTCACTTGGGTAGTTGTAAAAAAGATAGCAAGTTGTGCGAATACCTGCTCGATAAAAGGTAACTTTTCTATAAATCTTGTTGTTCCAACATATATATAAATGCGCCAAAACCCTGGTATCATCGAGAAAACTTTTATTATACGGAGTTTTAGTGGCGCCATCTATCCTAGGTCCACAAAACAGCGAATAGCCGCCAGAAGCTGGAGGAAGAGGGGGACAGCGCCGGACGGGCAAGGACGGGTATGGCCGGACCCGGATGAGACTTTCCTCCTTTCACCGTATATTTCGCGGGGCACCCGCCAGCACGTGGTCACGTGGTCGCGAGCGGATGAGTTCTCGCTGCTTGCTGATGGCTCTAAAGAGAGAACTTTTTCAGAACCCCGCGCCTACTCAAGTGACGTCACTGCGCAAGTGACCCAGAAGACGACGTATGAGTTGAGAGGCGGCAAAAACCTGGATCTTTTTCATTTTTTAAAATAAAAACTAGGGTATCCAGGCAAAATCTGTTTTCTGTAGTTCACTGCAGAAGTGTCAGGCATCAACTTCCACAATTATTTAAGCAAAGCCCTGAAATTGTTGCACAGCTCCTTTAAGCCTGTTTACTCATATTTAACACCTATCTTTTTATTTATGTGAAATAAAATACCGGTGCACTTTGTTTTCCTTAGAATGAATACCAAATATCGCAAAATATCCCTTTTCTAAAATATAAAAAAAATTTAAAAAACGTTGCGGTGTTAGGTTGTTTTTTTAACAAGAAAAAGAGCCATGCGTGGCTGTAACTTCGGGGGTTTTCTTTTTGTGACGTTTAGGGTAGATAGATTATGTTTGCGCCATCAAATTGGATCTTTAGTGCCCAACGCCCATCAGCAGCTGCTTTTTTTTTTTTTTCACCAGAATTTTTATACATTTTAGCTTTTGTTCCGTACAAGATGCATATTCTGCAACAGGTGCATACTGTGCACATATAATATTGTCATTCACAGCACACTTTGAAAAATTCCTAAAAATCACTGTTTAATATTCGATTCGATATTCAGCTTTTTTTTTTTCTTAATTCGATTCGGTATTTGATTCGAAAACTACTATTCGGTATTCGCACACCCTTTGAGAAAATCAGTAGCAAGGTGCACATTCCTAAACTGTTGCAACAAGTGCAAGTGCTGCACGTAAACGTAATTGAGAATGCCCGATTTTTAATCCCGCAAAAGTTGCGGACACGTAACAAGACCATACGCCTGCACTTTTTTGCTCTTTAGGTGTCGCACGTTCCAAACACACCAAATCGGTTTCCTCGCTGTACGCAGCAAGGAAATTTGTTCCAGCTGATTTCAGCAGAAAACATAAGTGCATTAAATGGAGCACAACTTAGCATGACTCCCAAGCTCATCAGAGCTCACGAACGAAGACATGCTGCACAGTTGTGTCTTTCGGCTTCACCGACAGAATTGACATAGATTTTAGTTTTTTTTTTTAGAAGTAAAGTTTTCCTACATTCTTTGAAAAATTAAAAACAGGAATGAGACGTTGCGGGGCAAGGTGGACACCATGGGACAAGAGCTGCGGCGAGCCAATGCAAAGCTGGTCCATCTGCAGACGCAAGCGGACGAACAGACGGCGTTTACGCGGCGAATGCAGAGGCGCCTGCTGCTTCAGGGAAAGGTGATGCCCCTTCGCGGTCCCCTTTCATTGCACACGTGCATGCCTCATGTGTACAGTGGCTTGTGCATAGGCAACGGGACCTTTTTCATAGTGGTGGGATCTCATCTCGACTTTATGATTCTGGGGGTGCTGGGTTTGAAATGTGGGCTTTGTCTTCTCTAGGAAATTTCTAGGAAATTGCCTTCCCCGGGGACTTCCGTACAGAACTGGATTTTCTAGATATTTTCCGGGGGTTTTTTTGGACAATGTTCCGGGAAGGTGTTTGCTCATAAAGTTGTCTTCCCTGGAATTTTTGCAGGAAATTGCATTTTCTAGGCACTTTTATACGGATTTACTGTGCGTTCTCAAGGGAAGGCACTTCTCTAAAGTGTTGCTTCCACAAGGTTTTAATTTTGTGGGGATTTTCTAGACAATCTGAGAAGGTTTTTGCCTGGGGATTGTCCTTCCATAGATATTTTCATAGGGAATCGCATTTACTTGAGATCTTCCTAAAAGTTCTTCCCCAGTAATTGCATTTTTGGGGATTTCGAGGGCAGCCTTTCCCTAGGGATTTTCATAGGATATTGCATTTTCTATTGATTTTTCTGGGGATCTCATGAAGCCATCCCTAAGGAAGGAACTTCTCTAGGAAATGGCCTTCAGTAAGGATTTTTCTGGAAGATGGATTTTTGGGGGGGATTTTCATAGAGAATTCTCGAAAATCCCTGAGGCCCATTTCAGATGGGCCAATTTTCTTAGCAATTTCGATGTTGCTGGTGAATTGCTTCCTGGCTTTCTCTAGACCCTCACTCTGCAACACAAATTTCTGGGATCAAGTTTGCCTCGAAACGGGTGAGCAACTCGGCGACGTTTGAAGTGGCCGCAGCCAGTCAGGGACACTCTATTTTCACGTGACACCCCTGTGGTGGTGCTAATGAAAGCAAAAGCTTTAGTTCTGGAAAGTGGAAAGTTGAGCCAGTTGGTTCATGGTTCTTTAAATAATTAAAAGCGCCGAAAAAGACAAGGACAAAGAAGTGGAGATCTGGTTTGAAATGGATTGTTTTTGGGAATAGATTGTTTCAGAAAGATAAGTTAGTATTCTCAACGCCATTTAAAGATATGAAATTACATTTATGGCACGTAACTGCGTCTAAATAGTGCAAGAAAATTAAAATTTAATGATGATGATGATAACAAATTGTGACAATTTGGTTTCTGAGTGTTGCTGGTGTTGCTTCTCTTGTGAAAACCAACTAGCCTTATTCCTTCATGACCTGCATACTAATCTTGACCATAACATACAAATTGATGCCATTTTGTTAGACTTAGCAAAATCGTTTGACAAAGTATGTCATAAGCGCTTGACATATAAACTAGCGCAGTTGAACCTAAATATAGACCTTTTAAGAGAGCACTCTACCGAAAAGTGTAGACTTTTGAACCTTTGGCCTAATATGAATGGAATTTGCAGTATATGCTGGCAGTTGCGAGGCGGAATGCAGTGTAGTTGTTTTTATCAGGAACACACTGACATTGTTTAGGAAAATTATCATTAGAAAACTAATGTAATACCCACCATTTCACTAAATATGCAGCAGAATGCCTGGAGAGTACAACTATGAAATTTCCACAAAGTCATCTATTTTATGCTAACATCACGCTGAAAAATCAAATAAATATCTTGCTTTGTTTCTTGTCAACAGAATCTTAACGTCTTTTATGAAAGACATCCACAAAGTAAAAAAACAAGGCCACAACTGCATTGCTCATTAATTTTCACTTAAGAAACACATTGAGTGAGCCTTTCCTTTTGTCCCGTTACCAAACGATAGTTTTCCTCAAATGAAATTCACGCCAAAAAGTGGAACGGGGAAAAGCGTGTTCAAAGTGCTCGAACCTCTACCTTTTCTTTGGCATCGGTGGACTGAAATTAATTCATAAAAAAATAACTATGCTGTGTAAACAACTGAAACTTTCTGTGAATACTTTGTGGATGTTGATGGATGTAAATACGGAATTTTTCAAAATCAACTTTTTTTAGAGAAATTTTTTTTTTTTTCCTGGGCAGTGTCCTTCTTTAAACTGGATTCAAGAATTTCTTAGAAAACCAGTCTGTTCCCATTTACAATCAGTCTTCTCGTTCCCTCCCAAAAACATGGGACCACCCCCGTGGTTTCATCCTCAGACCCATTTTGTTTCTACTTTACAGTAATGATTTACCGCTGCACGTGTCCTGTCATATTCGTATGCTTGCCGACAATTGTGTTATTTATCGCTCAGTTACTAACGTTTCCGACCAAGGTACCCTTCAAAACGACCTAAACAATGTACAAGGATAGGGCAACCGGTGGTTAATGCCTCTTAACTTTAACAATTGTAAAGTCATGTCCTTCCAGCGTCGCTGTATTCCTCTTTCCTTCCCCCAAGGCTATCGTTAACGTTTCCATTGAACTGGTCAAGTCGTATAAGTACCTCGGTGTCGCCCTCTGAAATGATATACCTTGGCGCACGCATATTACTGACATCACTTCCTCTGGAAACGGATCCCTCGGGTTCTTAAAACGTCACCTACGTCATGCACCGCAACACGTGAAATGACTTGCCTATAAATCGCTTATCAGAGCCAAACTTCAATACGCGTCCGCAATCTGCAGTCCACACCAAATATATCTCATCATTGCACTCGAAGCACTTAAAAATCGTGCCACCAGATTTGTTCAGGCTTCATACTCGCACAATGTCAGTGTTTCGTCCCTAAAAGCGGAATCATGTTTGCTAACTCTTTCCTGCCGTCGCTGCATTTTCAGTTTTTCTCTATTTCATCAGTTCTTCTACTCTCTGCTTGGTGTAACATATCACATAACACCCAGCGTGCGGGTCCCAGCGCACCAGTCATCTGCGCCAGGTCGCCCGCCCACAGTCCCACATTGTCACCTTTTCTGCCTCACCTTTTTCTCGCACAGCCAAAGACTGGAACGACCTTTCCCGCAACATTGCTGCCATCACCTGCCCATCAAGTTTCATAGAAAGTGTCACCATTAATCTACCGCAGTGGATTCATGTTGCACTTTTTCCAATTGTTTATTTGTACACCCCCCACCTCCCCCTCTGTGTAGTACCCCCAACAGGGGTCTTTAACCCCTTGCCTACTCATTTTTTTTCTTTAAAGATCGTACAGAAAGCTTTATTTAAATCAAGCAATTTGCGCCAAAATAAAGAAAAACGTTTCCTTGGCTTTCAGGCGTAGTCTCGTGCTCTATACCAGGACTTCCGGTTGTCTCCTCTTCTTCAGTAGTTCTTCACTGTATGATAGAAATCGAGAGATTAGCAGAAACCTCACATAGGACATCGTTTTGCCGAAAATTGGGGTCTCCACTATGGACCTCTTGGACCAGGTCATTTTGACTGTGTGTTTTTTCACTTGCGTCATAATGATGCACAAGGCAAAGTATGCCTTTATCTCATCCGGAGTGGTGTCAAACCATTGCTCCTTATAGCATTTCTTGGGACGATCCTCGTCGCCCATCTCTTGTTCGGCGTAGCGATTTGTCTCGGCAGAGACAGACGCCCAAAAATCATGACTTGCAAACACGGAAAAGGTCGACAAGGCGCTTGTCTTCTCACCAAGACTGCGTTGAACCCTTGCTGACACACCTGGGGTTTCTACAAAGGTGAACTGAGCAGGCTGGCTGTCCCTCTTCTCCCAGTTCCACTGACGTGCAGACGCCGAAGTCAATGAAATGCTTCCAGGATTCGCATCGTTTTCAACACTTTTCTCACTGTCCGTTGAACTCTCATCGGATTCCGAGTAATCGGAAAGGCAGCAGGATTCGTCGTCAGAAATACTGGCGCATTCATCACTTTCAAAAAGAAGTCTTTGTATATCTTCGTCCGCCAAAGCAGACCTCCGCGCCGAAGACTTGTTTTTGGCGCGCTTGCTTACAATAGCGCGCTTATTTTTTGTCAATGGAGCGCCCTCTCTCTGTCAAAAGGCAAAGCAAACAAGAAAAGAACCCAAGGTAAACAGGAGCAACAGGGGTAGTGCTGCCATCTGCCGCAGAGCTCACAAAACAAGCTCTGAAACCGGAACACGAGTTACACTCGTGGTCGGGTTTTATGGTCCGTAAATGGCGGCACGAGTGACACTCGTTATTAGTAGGCAAGGGGTTAAGCTAACAAAGTGAAGTGAGGTGAAGTTGTGACGTCAAGTTGCTGGCAGAAATTGCTTCGTCTGAAGCGGGCCTAAGGAAGGCATTTTCCTGGGGAATTGCCTTCCGACGTAAAGCCCCGTTATTTCCCTCGTTAAGGTTGGTTCACACTTTTTGCAACTGCTTACAACCGGGTGTGTCATGACGTCTTGTGATCTCCTATGACAAGAGAGCACACTGGCACGCTGGTGCCACATATGAGGTGGGCCTGGGACTCCATGTCGCTAGAGCAAAGGTTTTGCAGTATTTGTGAGATAAAATGCATGTACTGAAAAAAATATTATGATGCACGAAATAAAGAATAGAAAATATGTGAGAGTCTCAAGTGTTCCACGCAAAATTTAAAAAAATCGTTATTTTAACAAAGAAGATCATAAATCAGATTTATTTTATTTAATTCAGATTGGTTCGATTTAATTCGGAATAATCTTATTTAAATCATTGTAGCTGGCCAATAGGGACTCTTTATCATGGCATGGCAGATTGATTGACCAATCCACCCGATTACCGATAACAACGCGGAAGAGCGGATTACTGCACATTTAAAGAATGGTATAATTAACGCAGCTTGATTTTTTTTTAGTAAACTAAAAAGCTTTGTTTGGCTTGTCTTTCACATTCTGATTTTCTCGAAATGGAATGTTACGTAAGTGACAAATCAAGTGGAACATGGGAAGAAAACTCGATGCTCTGATTTCTTTGATTTCAGTACAAAATAAATGCGCGTAGAAAGCATCAAACGATAGATAAACGGAAAATAAAAGATATTTTCTGGATTGTTTTTGCGGGAAAGGTTTGATTTAAATCATTGTAGTAAAACTGGTCTGATTTAGATTGCGATTTAAATCGTCTTAATTTTTATTCTCTGCCCTGGTTTCAGGGCTTCCTGATAGGTACAGTGCAATCCACTTATAACGATCTGCAGCTTATAACAATCAGTTTCTAGAGTGCCTAGATACGATCAGTTCCTAGTCCAGATACAACGATAATCGGTTATAACGATTGAAATTTTGGGTTTTCTCATCGTTATAAGTGGTTTGCACTTTTTGTCCTCAAGAGGTCCTAACGCATCATGTTGTAGGCAGTCACAAGTGTGTGATGGAGTCCTTACATGCAAGTTGTGTGCAACACTGACTCTCGCATGTGGACAACAGGAGCGGGAGGCCTATCGAGCCTTGATGGACAGCTACCAGAGTGAAGCCGGGCAGCAGTGGCCGGCCGCCGCCGCCAAGCAGATCCAGTCCCTGGAAGCGGTCCTGGCCGACTACCGACACAGCCTGGACCAGGCGAGTGGCCTCCTCCCACCATTCGCGCCTGTGGAAACGTCGTCTCGAGACTCTCGAGGCGTGACTCGGGTCATAGGTCGCGCCAAAGTAAATGACCGATATCGACTTACGAAACTATGTGCGAGCACTGCCAAAATATTACGCTTTTGGGAAACTGCGATCCACTCTAAAACCGACAATAAAAATGCCACTGCCGGCTTCTCGGCGGCGATTTGGCGGGTTGGTTGTCTGTCGAGCAATCTTGTGCCCGGACATTGTCCTCGTACCCAAGGAGGTTACTTGTTTGTGATGCCGCTTCTTTCGCCGTGTTTTTCTGGTGCGTTTTCAGCCGTACCAGCGGATGATTTCTGCTTGTTAGGTTACGTTTTAGCGGCCGTAGTATGTAAGTGGTCTTCGGCGATTGCGCACAAAGATTACCGACTCCCCGCTCGCTCGAGCGCGTCGTGGTGCCAAAGATGGCACTCACCGGCGGCCATAGTTTAGTCCGTTCCTGTTCGGCGGGAGCTTATGACTAGCTTCCATGATGTTTCTGCAACGTGCATTGCACTCCACCCAGATGGTAGTTCTTTTTGGAAAATAAGTGGGGGCTCGTTCTAAGACTGCGCTGAGTCTGCGTCCATTGCGGCAAACTCGCTTTTCGGCCGGCAGCGTTACGAATGAGCGTTAATTAACATTTGCCACGGACGTTTGACATCTGCAAAGCAAAGCGGTAGAACAGCCATAGCATCTTACCTGACCGATTGGAACTGTTCTCTGGACCAGGCCGGTCGTACGTTTTGCAGTACCAGAATACGAACTTTGCATTGCACGACGGTTATGGAGCCGATCATGGGCGTTGCCGCCGTACCCGCGCCGGTAGTTTCGGTTTCGCCGTAGAGCCCCGAAATGAAACTTTGAGGCGGGATATCAACAAAACTGTGCGAGACGTACAAAAACAAACAAAAAGGGAATGCCTCGTAGTTCAGGGACACTTCCTTCAACAAAAACCATCGTAACCCTAAAATCTAAAAAATATACCAGAGTTTCATGTTTTTTCGTCTGTGCTTGGAACATGTCTGCAGGCTGCCTTTTGTACGACGTACTAACCCCGGCTTTAATCCTTCCGTGTCTGTGGCATGTAGCCTCGACGGCGCCCACGCGACGTCGGCGGCGTTTTAAAAAGTTAATTGCAAGGCCGTCATGGGGACACTACGACGACGTCACGACGTTCGCGCGACGACGTTACCATAATGACAGAATTTTTAACCGTGTTTGCACACCAACCGAATGTCTGGTACTGACCAGTCTACGGAGCAGACGACACTGGGGTGAGAGGAGAGGGGGCATTTCCCTTTCTGCGGTCTTTAGCGGAATGGTCTATAGAGAAACGTCTTTCTGTATGGAATTTAGAATATTATCTCGCAACTCAGTTTTGTTCAATGCTTTCCAAAACCTGTAGTCCAGACCTACCTAATTTGCTTGAATCTTGAACTCATGATGCAACTGGCTAAGATATTTCTGTTCCTAAGTTGCTCCAAAATTAAGATGTTGTGCACTCCCAAGCTGAACCAAAATGCAGATTCTTTTGCTCCACAAATTGCTCAGAGACCAGTTTGATCTGTCCCATCCCTGGTGAGGTCTAAAGACTTTCTGCAATGCACAGGTGGAGAAGGAGCTAGAAGACCTGCGAAACCGACGACAGTTGTCCAGTTCCTGCAGAAGTGATGCCGAGTCACAAACTGACCAAGTCAAGTGAGTCTTACCTTTTGTTTACATACATTTTTTTTTTAGATATGCTGCATATTTTGTGGAGTCCTGGCACTGTGCAACACGGTTAGTGTGAATGTGACGTCAGCACTTTTCTAAATTTAAACATTACATTCGAGAGCGACAAACTTAACCACTAGAGTGCAAGTCCCGAAATAAGCACTCTTCACGATGCCACAATTTTCGATGAGATTCTTCTCATCTTGACGGAGAAACAGGAAAAAGCGGCAATCGCTTGTTTGCCCTAACAGTGTCGCACAGTGTCCTACATCATTCAGCACACTAAAACAAAATAAGTGCATTCATCTCTTTCCGACATAACAAATAAAAAGCACACTTTTTTTTATACACTTTCACGGGCAAATTGAGAAAGAAAAATTATACAAGCTTGATCATGTTAACGAAGACTGGTGAGCACAGAGCGTGCCATAGGCCTATATGAGGAGAAGGAAATGGCGTCCGAATGGCACTGCCTACCGAAGATTTGCATTCGCTTCCAGCACATGCCGTGAGACAGCGCAGCATGACAGGAAAGGCCGTGAAATGCATGACCGCCCCTTTGCGTGCCACGCCAAAGGGTTTGCTTTTGTGTGCTCCGACCATTGACCCTGGATAGCTCAGTCGCAGAGTACAGTCTAACCTCGTTACAACAGACACTTGGATATAAAAAAACAATTTGTGAAGTTTGTTTGGTTTTCCTCTACAGACCATCGACTCAACTTCATACCTGCATACAGCATACTCCTCTTACAACACACCGAAATCTCGGTCAAAATAAAGGTCTGTTATAACAAGCTTAGACTGTACTTGGTTCATAATCTCCAGGTGGCGAGTTCAAAGTTCAAATCCTGCCGGGGGACTGAAGTCTGCTTAGTATACTGTTCCCCATGAGCGTAACGCTTTTCTGCGTCGGTTTTTCGTTACAGCCGGCGGCTACGGCTGGCTGTTACAGCCAAACGTTACGGGACTGCGTGAAAATCGGCCAATAAAACACGTTCTGTGTCAATAAGGAACAGTATAGACGCTTTTACTCTTTACAAACACCAGCCGTCTCTTGGCTCCCAATCGACTTCCGGTCGCTTCATTTCAACAAGATTTCAGAGCCTGTTGATGTCCCAATTCTCGGGACGATAAAGTTCCACGTAAACCACAAAGTTTTGGGTTTAGTGAGGTTCATTTGTTCTGCTATTCAACATATGAATCGGTGTTCTTACAGGTGGAATGAAAAATCTCCAACGAATCTCTCGCTAACCGGTTCTTTAGCTAACCAGCTGGAGAAGTGGTCATAAAATATTTTATGAATGTTACAAGAAGCAGTGCCGTGTTGGGGATTGTTTGCCCTCTCATTTGGCCAGAACTTTGCGGGGATATAAATTGTGAACAGCGCCTCTTTCCGGCGCTTTCAAAACAGGGTCTATATGATGCAGCATAGCCAACGCAAAGCTATGAAACAATTCACCCGGATGAATATTGAAAGGAACATAAGCAAAAGCATAGGAACTACCAACATGCGAAAATAATCAGCGGGTTATCTGCGAGAGTCGCCAGTATCTCCAAATGATCGCAGGTCACCATGAACCAAACAATTGAAAGCAACCTTTATCTCCCAACTTGTACACTGCATGAAATGCAGTATTTAAGAGGGAAACTGATTTGGTACAAAGGCCATGTGTTTCAGTTGTCTCACTAAACTTAGCAGGGGAACTAAATTGGTGTGGAAGTCACGTGACATCAATTTTGTGGCTAAATTTTGAAGAGAAACTGAATTAGTGTTCATCATGGAAACAGCGCAAAAACACAAGGACGTAGAGAAACACATGGGATGAGTGCTGTGTTTAGCGGAGTTTAGATCATGTGACAGCAATTTGTCTGCTAATATTTGCAGAAGATGCACAGACGGACGGACAGATGGGCAAAATTTGGGGGTCGGGGTGGGGGCATTGGTAACAAGTGTTTCATGCTTTCGAATTTTGAATGTAGTAACATGCTCTGGTGACTCACAGTAGTGCAACTGGGGGCTGACTAGTGAAGCACTGACAAGTTAGGCTTTGGCTAGAATACTGGCCAACTACACAATGTGTGCCACTGTAGTAGATACTAATGCAGTTGATATGTTTGCATGCCGAACTGACCATTTCTTAGAGAGTGTGCCCCGAAATGCTGATGTGGTTTCAATGTTAATTTCAGATTTGAAAACTCGGAAAATGGGGTGAGTGGATCCGCAAGTTCTTTTCGAAACTAAGGTTGCTAAACCATCTTCGTCCATAAGAGTACATTTTTAGGAAAGTCGTGCAAACATTAAAATGTTTTAGCTGCAGTTTTGAATGGTGTGCTATTTAATATTCACTTTGAACAAACTTCAACATCCACACCTTTTGAAGTGTTGGCAAAGTCGTGAGCGCTGTGAGTTAGTTGGCCCCTTCGAGTGCAGTTCCCTCTGTGCATCGGCGCACCTCAGAGAAGCAATACCCGCAGAGCTGACACTGCGATCCTGAAAGTCTCGCTTTACCACAGTGCAGTTGCAAGCTCGGAGGAAAAGCGCGGCTTCAGAGAGTAAATCTGTGTCCGTGCACGTGGTGTGACAAGAAAAGGAATCTGAAGTTGATGAATGGGTCCATATCTATCTTGCATTGCTACTATTGATCTCATGCAGGAATGTATGTTGGACAACAATGTACAGACAAGTATCATAAGACGTGTTTATTTGTCTTTTAAAATTCGAGATGGGAGGCGGGATATTTTAATTTAACAAAAGGTTTTATAGGTTGCAGTCTTGTCCCTTGTCCCGAGTTTGTTTTTTTCTTGTTGTGTTAAGTAAAGTTTTACAGATCACTTTCATTGGGTATAGCTGGAGATCACGGCGTCACTCTAGGTTTAATTTTATGTCAGACAAGTCATTTGCTTGTCACCCTTATTGGTCTTAGACTATTGTAGGCTATGGTGAATAAATAGAGCAAAATGAACCGAGCTTAGCAGTGGATGTATGGAAGCTTGGGAATAATCTTAAGTTTTTAACAAGTTCCCCTGGATTTCGTTTATTTGGTGTGGCAGTAGTGGGGGGCGCAGTAGAAGGGGCAGCAACTATGGTATTCAAGATGTTTTGCTTCCCACAGATTTAATTTACGGAACTACAGTCAAACCCACTTATAACGATCCCACATATAACGACCTATCGGTTATAACGACCAGCTTTCAGGAAATATACAAATTTAAGGCCCTACACATTGATATTGGTCTAGATAAAACGAAAGATTTTCAAAGCATCATACTGTTACAGCCAACACAAAGTCCGCTTCAGAAGAAAACAAAACAAAAAGAAAGATCAGAAAGGCTACATTCCGGGCGCGGCGCTCCGGGAGATGCTCAAGGTCATTTCCACGGCCGTGCGGCAGGGGAGAAAACAAAACTACAAAGGCAAAAACGCCCTGCCGGGTCGCGTAGCCTGCCGATTGTGCGTGCATGGGAAGGAGAAGAGAAGAAAGAGGAAGTCAACTCTCATGCTGTTCTGCATTCGTTCGTTCTATGTTTGCAAACTCTGTATTCAACTCAAGGAAAACTCAATGCTCGGTATAAGTTGGTTAGCCCCATCACCGTCGTGACAGTTTGTTTACGTTCGCCATTTTGGTATCCGTGTCATGCACATCTCTCGTGTCTACAGACTCGTGTCTGTCGTTTTAAGATGGGGGAAAAAAAAATCCACAAGGGGGGGCTTTATTTAAACAAAAGGGCATCACGCTGGGACAAAAGATAACAACGGAGCAGCACTGCGTGTCCTCGCAATCCCAGCCACCCGACGAGCTCGCAAAGTCTTGTTCAAAAGACGACCCTGCCAGAGGCGACGGCCGAGCACTCCTACGTGCGCAGGAAGCGCGGCACTCAAAACGCTGTAGTCCAAAGCCAGTATTAATTACCTCTGTGGACAGTGGAGAACCATCGTCGGACTAGTGCACGGCATTTATTTTTGTGTTGGCGTGGGGCTGATAAAATCTGTTTTATGAGGTATGTGGTCAATCTTCATTATTTTACCTGTGCGGTAGAATCGGCAGCAATTTACTTGAATATCTGGAAGCTAAATCTGCTTGCGCGTTAGAATCGTGCAAACAGTTTCTTTAAATAAAGAGCTGGCAGAGTGAAACTACTACTGTTGAACCTCGATTTAACGAAACCCGATTTTACGAATTGTCCAATTTAATGAAGAAATTTGCATTCCCCGCGCAGCCTATGGGCGAGGTCTCCCTTCCTCGATTTTACGAAGTTTCCGATTTAACGAAGTAATTAGCGGGTCCCGGTGACTTTGTTAAATTGAGGTTCAACAGTAATACAAGTTTCATTATCCTCATTTGTTATGTTTTAATGGTGAGTCCAAATATAACGAACTACTGATGAAACAACGACTCTTCGTGGAAGTATCACGTTCGTTATAAGTGGGTTTGACTGTATTCAAGTAACTCTTTCCATACCATGCCCATTGGCCATTGATAACCTCTAATCGATGGTTTCCACACATTGCCAAAATTCGAATTTGGTGCACAGGAACACGTTGTGCCATCTCATGGATATCTGAAGAACTACAGCTTCGGTTTCGATTTCGTTTTGCGCTCTCTCTCAAGCTGGTGAGCAATCCGATATACAGTAAATTTTCAATTGAGCAAACGTCGGTTTAACGAATATTTCAGAAGGACGAACTTTAAAGAATTCCCAGCAGTATTCCTAAGCATTCTAGGCAAAAATGTTCGAGTTGAAAGTAAAACAAATTTCGGAATAGCGAATATTTCAGTTCAATGAACTTGATCGGTGGACCCAGGATTATTTTTGCAATCAGTACAGCGAAGTTTTCTGCTCTGGACTGCTGGCGTACCCGACGCCCGCTGCCGCCGCCTCTGTAGTGGCAGCGTATCATCGCTGGCGTTAACAGACCGGGGCAAAGCGGCAGTACGGTAGACGAAAACAAACCACATGATGTGTCCGTTTTTTAGGGGCAAAGCTCCTTAGGGTCTAGCCTTGTCCGTCCGGCGTCCGTGCTCACATCGATCTTGCTGGTGCTCGTGCTCGTGATCGTGCTCGTGATCGTGCTTGTGTAAAGCAAAAAAAAAAAAAAAGATTAAAAAAAAAAAATTTTGCACAGTCGACAGGATTCGAATTTGTGTGGGGAGACCCCAATGGATTTCTAGTCCATAGCCTTAACCACTCGGCCTTGACTGCGGGACGAGTAGGGGGCTCTGAGATGTGGTAGTAACTCAAGAGCTGGGGATGTCATGGATGAAACGTTGCATGTAGCTGCTCAACGTCTATACAGGTGAGGGCACTGCGGTCAAATGCGTATATAATCGCGTTAAACGTTGCATGCATTGGCTCAATGTTTATAGACGAGAGGGCGCTGCGGTCAAATGCTCAAATGCGTATATAACCACGTTACATACCACACATTCTCCTTCTGACATGGATGAAAACGAACGAAAGGCTTGGCATGCCGCGGCTCAGCGTCTACGCAGACAAGCACCACCAGAGCTTCGCCCCAATCAACATCATTCACCACGTGGAGATGCGGTCATTTTTTTTTTTTTTTCAAAATGAGAAAGGGAGTTACTTAACTGTTATGCACTTTGTATATATCGCTGTACATGACTCCATAAATTGCCTTTCACACTTTTGACTTGATATATGCTGTGCTCTATACTTTTCCACATTCTAGTTTAGTCAACTTTCAGTTCACTGAACTATTTCCTTGGGTTCCTTAAAGTTTGCTCAATTGAGAATTTACTGTAGATGGTGCCAGGTGTGTCCCATCTTTGTAAGAAATCACTACAGTGTGTATGAAAGTATGGTATTATCTTTGCATTTATTCTTAGCTGCAGATCAGCCTGGCCAACCTTCTTCCCTCTTGAGGACTCCACGATTAATGAGAACTTTGGTGGTTCGACGCAGGGTGCATCCGGACTGCGGATAGTCCACTTTGTGGAGAATCCGCTCGAGGTCGCATTCCGAGAGCGACTGGAGTCCGTCTCTCGCCTCGAGGAGGAGAATGACCGTCTGAGGGCGAGGGTGAAGGTGCTGGAGGAGTTTGGATGCTCTCAGGACGTCACGGCCCAGGTGCAGCTGCGGCTGGACCAGGATGGATCACTGCCGGACCGCAAGAGTGAGCAAAACACTTTTAAGGTGCTTCGTCTCTGCGATAGAGGCAAGGTGCGCAGAATGAGGGGCGGAATTAGATTAGGCTTGTTACGCCTTATTACGCATTTGTATGTAACTAGGGTTTCAGAGAGAAATGTCAAGGAGAAAGTGGAGTGAAAGCGGAGAGGCTGGACACACTTGCATCTGCTTACGGCCGAGTGCATCGCGGTTTTTTGTCGACATCTTGCGACGAGAGAAGAGACTGGTACATTTGTGTCATCCATAGGGTAACCCCGGGGCTGCACTTAAGTAGAGCGGAGGTTTTGCGGTAATTGCAAGATCAAATGTATGTATATCTATGAGAAGTAGTCGTCTACTGTAATGGTTCTCAAACGGGTGTCCGCACACCCTTTGGGGTCCCGATCGATCAATAACTTTTTTTTTTAATGATGTTGGCTGTCCTAAGAAGCTAAATACCGTATTTACTCGCAGAATGAACGCACTTTTTTTTCCGAAAAATCGATGCAAAGTTAGGGGGGCGTTCATTATGCGAAGAAAAAATTTTTGCGTCCGTATTTACTCGCATAATGAACGGACCTTTTATTCTGAAAAATCGAAGTAACTTCTTATCTCTTTGGGCGCGGCGCCCAACCCCGTAACCAAACTAAGCTGTGCAAAAAAAAAAAAAAAAAAAAGAACAACTCCTCTGTTTTTTTTTCTCTTAGTTCCTTGGTTTTTTTTTTTTTTTTGCCGCCTTTCGCAAGCTGTTTTGTTTGCTTAGGCGTTGCTTAGACGATGGCTCTCCGCTTATCTTTCTTATCTCCTTGCGCGCGACGCACGACCCTCCGTAACCAAACTGCACTGTGCAAAAAGAAAAAAAGAGAAAAAAAAAAGCTCCTCTTTTTCCTTTGTTTTTTCTCAGTTCCGTGGGGTTTTTTTTTCCTCTCCTCTTTCTTTTTGCTGCCTTTCGCAAGCTGTTTCGTTTGCTTAGAGGGCTTCTCCGCTCCTCTTTCTTACCTCCTTGCGTGCGGCGCGAGACCCCCGTAACCAAACTGCGCTGTGCAAAAAAAAAAAAAAAGGACAAAAATTTTTTTTGTTTGTTTTCTCTTAGTTTGGTGAGTCTCTTTTTTTTTTTGGCGCCTTTCGCAAGCTGTTTTGTTGGCCTAGAGCGCTTCTCCGCTTCTTTCTTACCCCCTTGCGCGCGGCGGCGCGCGAACACTAAAGTGCAGACTGCGCCGTGCAAAAAAAAAACCTCGCTGCACCATGCAGGATAGAAAAGTGCGTTCATTTCGCGCGCGTGGGGGGAGGGGGTCAAAATTTTTACGTCGGAGTTGGGGGTGCGTTTTTTACGCGAGTGAAAAAAAAAAGTCGAAATTTTGAGAGCCGACTTGGGGGGTGCGTTCATTACGCGAGTGCGTTCATTGTGCGAGTAAATACGGTATTCCCCGTTTCAGAGCTTCAAACTCTGTTTGCGAGCATTTAGTTTTGGCAGTGACTATTTCGACGTTCACCATCAAAATATTTTTGTATTTATTTTTTTGTCCGTGACGTCCCTTCCCGAAAATGTCAAAATAGTGGGTTTATTATCTTGATGTCCTCCGTCAGTGCTGTGCAGTACAGGCTTCTTGAATTTACCAGGACGTGAGATTTACAGAAAATAACAAAAAGGTGCTTCCGTTCCCAGGCATCGAACCTCGGCCCTTTGCGTGGGAGCAAAGCACGATAACCATTTGGCCACGGGCACGCTTGCTGGAAGACATGCGTGGCAATATTTTTTGTACTCTCTTAGCGTAGATTGTTTCAATCTTAGATTTTCTTTTATTGTTTGTTGTACACTTATTGTAGGCCTAATAGGCAGTATTGTCTCGGTTTTTTTTTTTTTGCATTCTGTCGTATATATCATGTGAATTTCTACGTCATACTTGTCACAGCCCCTGTCAGGGGTAAACAGCTTCCATAAATGAAATAAAATAGAAAAAATATTGGACATTGTGAGATCGGCACGGCTCGGCAATGGGAGCTTGTGGTGCCGTGCGCTTCGTAGACAACACGCGCTGCACTGCAGTCGATAAATTGGGAATGTCCCACCCAGTTCGGCAGGAAGCGTATCGAGCATTTACAATGCCGCTGTTGCTGCTGCACGTTCCGACAGTGCAGCAAGGACATTGTAGTATCCTTTGTGGCCATCATTTTTGAGTGCTGCCCATTCTCTCAGAGCATGTTTCAAAGGTGGTGTGTGGCTCTAGTTCTGCAGATAGTCAAGGCATACGAGTTCAGTGTAGAAATGACACGAGCAAAACGGCGACAAACTCGGTGCTCTGTGCCTGGCTGTTGAACAGTGATATTGGCTCCAGACATGTGAAGGGCGTTCCAAAAGACGTTTTCATGAGAGACATGCTGGAAAATGATTTGGACCTCTGCTTGGACAAATGCCTCGAAGAAACAAGTACCAATCTCTGCGGTAAAGCTACAATGCGACACTTGTCCATATCTACAAGTGAAACTCGATTTTACGAAACCCAATTTGACGAAATTCTTGCTTTAACAAACTAATTCTAATTTTCCCACAGATTCTCATAGGGCTGCATGCATTTAGGAACTTGAAATGATGAAATAAAAATGACCGTCAACCCGATCTATTCCCGGAAAAAAATCAATTCAAAAAGGGGTAATTTCAAGTATATTTTATCAAGAAATTCTCAAGGTTTGTTTCCGGCATACCAGCAATAAGATTGCATGACCCTAGTTTATTGTTACGGCTAACTCAGCACTCCGAGCTTTTAGTCACTTATACAAAGTGACACTAGCGGTTTCATGGCGTTTCGTTCATGTCGCTCACGACAGGTGACACTGATGGAGTTCGCTGGTCATTCAGTTTTGGTTCGGATGTGTTTGGTAGTGGTCTGCCCTCCTGTTAGCCCTACGGACGGGTGCGTCGGATATAAACGGCGGGGCCACGATGTAAGGTGCATACTATATAGGTGAGGTGAGGACACAGGGCATGGCGAACGGTGCGACGTGATCGACCAGATAAAGTCCCGTTGGTGCTCGCCCGAGTAGTCTCGGCCAATAGCGTCTCCGCCGTCCAAACAACACAAATAAATAAAAAAAAAAAAAATTTTTTTTATTTTTACAGCATGTGGGCGCGTCTTCTTTCTGCTCAGGGTGTCTGTTCTCAGCTTGGTGGACGCTGGCTCGATCACCACGCCAGAGATCTTAAGCAACACGCGTAGTGCAAGTGCCAAGTTCTACATGACATGGCACACCCAGAAAATGACTATAAACAAAATTGAGCAGTCCCGTGTGAATCCACAGTACAGTCACAGCGATAGCTGTGGCACGTCACGGTGAAGTCGTTGGGCATCAGTGTTGCGTTCACACACCGTGTGGGGCAGTGGGGTGCGTGAACAAAAGTATTCGGAACAAAATAGACATCTGTTTTGTTCCGGACGCTTTTGTTTTGTTCCACCTTGTTTCAAATGCTTGTTTCTCTTTCGACAGGGAACGTGTGGAAGCACGTCACCCGAAACAAGTTCATGGCATTGACAGTGCTACGACAACAATATTTTACAGCGAAGCTGTTATGCGCTAGGATCTGGGGAAAAATGTGTCTGCGAATGTTGACAGAAAACTCCCCATTGGTCGTGGAAAGTATGAATAAATAAAAATAAAAAGAGGGGGTAACCAGTGTGAGTCAGCCTTCCTTGGCATTATTAGATAGTGAGGTCCCAATCTCTTGTTATCATCTTTAGGCATCGTCCTCGAGGTCGTCCTAGAAGTCGTCCTAAAAGTCGTCCGAGAGGTTGTCCTTGAGGTCGTCCTCGGCATCATCCTCTAAGCGTCGTCCTTTAGGTTGTCCTAGACGTTGTCCTCTAGGCATTGTCCTAGACGTCGTAAAAATAACAGCTTTGCTGGTCCTTCATCTTCACGTGAAGTGGAAGGGCTCTACAATATTTTATAGACTCCTTTTTTTTTTCCAGAGGGCGCGTGCAGTGGGCATTGGGTACTACAAAAACCCTATGTTTAGAGCGGGTCATTAGCGCCATGGCATGGCTCACTGGTAATGTGCCCGCTTCACACGCAGCGAACCCGGGTTCAATTCTAGCAGGTGGCGGGCAATTGTTTTCAAGGATTTGGCAACGTCGACGACGGATGCCCTGCATTGCCAACTACATCAAAATGGATGTCATTCCAGTGGTGTGAAGAGCCCATAACAGTTATTGCTGTAAAGCAAGCCTGTTTCTCATGGAGAAGCATGGGAAACCGGTACTGCAACACTTGAAGGAACCATGAAGGCAATTTAATTTTTTTTTAAAAAGAAGGTGTTTTCGGAAGCATTGGGGTCGTGGCATGCCACACAATTTTTTCTAGAACGTCGTGACTCTTATTTCTGTACCTGCAAATAAATTCGCGAAACCGAAACAAACATTCAGATTTCTTCCCTTTTTCGCCTGTGGAAAGAGAAGTGACGTCAAGGAGCACTGTCGGCGTCGGTAGGATTTAGTGCACACTCAGTGTGGTTCCCGTGGTTCGCTCTAGTGCACGGCGGTCTGTGAAGACCAGAGGTCGGCATTTTAGGTCGCCCTCACTCATCCTCACCCTCACAGCCACACTCACCTAAGCCCCTCACTCACCCTCACCCTCACAGCTACACTCACCTTCAGCCCCTCACTCATCCTCACCCTCACAGTCACACTCACCTTCAGCCCTTCACTCACCCTCACTGAACCTCACGGCCCTCACGCTCTCACCGCCCTCACGGCCCTCACGGCCCTCACCGCACTCACGGCCCTCACCGCACTCACGGCCCTCACGCAGTCATAGCCCTCACCGCCCTCACGGCCCTCACGCCACTCACCGCCCTCACCGCCCTCACCGCCCTCACCGCCCTCACGGCCCTCACCGCCCCTCACGCCACTCACCGCCCTCACGGCCCTCACCGCCCCTCACGCCACTCACCGCCCTCACGCCCCTTACGCACTCATGGCCCTCACGCCACTCAGGCCAGCTTCAGATGGGGCGATTTCGCCCAGAAACTTTACGTCGCAACACCAGCAACATGGGCCGCCCGCGATCACACGCAGCAACCAATTGCTGCAATTTGCCATCGTCATCATAAAATTTTATTTTTATTGCACTATTTAGACACAATTACGCGTTATAAACGTGTTTTTATGCATTTAAATCTCGTTAAGAATACTAATGCACCTTTCTGAAACCGTTTATTTCCAAAAAAAAAAACGATCGATTTCAAACCAAAACCAAGTCTTTCGGTGTTATCATCACCGACACGAGGTATTACGTGAAAATTTTGCGTCCCTGATTGAATGCAGCCGCCTCAAACGTATTCGAATTGCTGCGAGTTGCTTGCTTATTTCGAGCCGGACCCGATCTCAGCAATTCGTGTCGATCTAGGGAAAGCTAAAGAACAACCCGCCATTAACACCAAAATTGCTGAGAAAGATGCTCGATCTGAAGGGCGCCTCACGCACTCACCGCCCTCACTAATGTCCCTCACACCACCTCATGCACTCACCGCCCTCACGGCCCTCACGCCTCTCCTGTCACTGCCCCCACGCGCTCATGGCCCTCACACCCCTCACGCACTCACCGCCCTCACACCACTCACGGCGCTCATGGCCCTCACGCCACTCACCGCCCTCACGCCCCTCACGCACTCATGGCCCTCATACCCCTTACCGCCCTCACCGCCCTCATGGCCCTCACGGCCCTCACGGCCCTCACGGCCCTCACGGCCCTCACAGCCCTCACGGCCCTCACAGCCCTCACGGCCCTCACTCACCCTCACTCACCCTCACCTCACCTGTGAAGATGAGGGTGAGTGAGGGTGAGTGAGGGCCCTCATGAGTGAGGTTTGCTGAGGTATGGTGAAGACCACCTGGAAGAAATGGACGACAGCGCTGCGCTCGCAAACGAGTTTGAGCTCCCGTTCAGCGACCTCACGCCGACTGAACGGGAGATGCTGCTAAGGACGCAGAACTCTGGATTGGCGCTTTACGAGGGCGCCCCAGACCTACCACCAACTCCTCGGTTGCCGCCTCAGAGCGACTCCCCGCCCCACTTTTACCCAGACTGTGGTTGACGTGAAGGTGCTGCTCAAAGTCTTCTGGTCGGAAATGCAACGAACAAATCCTGACACCGCTGTCCACAGCTCTACGCAAGACGACGGCGCGCAACCAAATGCTGCGCATTGCTGCATCGGTCGGCAGTTTATGCAAACTAACGTCGCCTGATCGACCGCACGCCTTTAGCCGACCTTTCGCGCAACCTACTACTGCACATAAACGCGGCATGACTGGTGAGACACCAGTTCGCAAAGCGAACGCGAGACGATGCACGAAACCAAAACCAAAAGTTTGCCGCCCCCGGCGCTCGTACCTTTTTTTTTTTTTTTGTCCATGGTTGCTCGATGCTTTCTACGAGCCCGAGGTAGCAGTGTGGGATGCGTTCAACCAGTGACAAACGGAGGGATCGCTTCAGATTATGCTTTTATACACGGTATGAAACCTATTAATTCCCAACTACAACTTCAATAGATTACCCAACGTTCAAATAAAAATTTTTCATCACATCTCACCACCGAAATGGAAACCAAGAGCTCGTCTATCGTTTGAACCAATCGCCAGACGTGGAGCCCGTTGTCGTCACGCTTCGACGGCGCACTTTAGTTCACCTTTCTGCCGCCGCCTCGGTGGGGTCTCAGGCATCGTTCCCGGCGCTATTATTACCGCGCTTGTTTGCTCGATTGGTGCGGCACCCAAACTTCTGTTCGGGCTAGAACTTGGTCAACAGTATTTGAGGCGTGCCTGACATCCATTTCAATCGTCGAATAAAACTTCGAAACTGCCTTCATGGTCCCTTTAAACCAAGGCGAGGAGAGAACTTCATCTGGTAGCCGTGACACGTGCGGTGTGTACACCTATATATTTGTATATCCTGAACCGTGAACAGGACGCTGCCAAGGCAAGTGCAGCAGAGAGCTTTTCAATCGTCGCACCTCCAGCGCGAGCTCTCTGCTCGACACTTTTACGTCTCGTGGTCTCCAAGCGTGCACGCGCAACCAACGCACGATGGAATACAAGTAGACGCTGGATGCTGGGCATCTGCGTCTGCTCGTATTCCGTCTGCGTCGCCATGAAATGAAGCTTTTAAGAAAGAAAAAAGTGTTCACCCTCGAAAAAATTGCGGAAATCATTCGTGCTTAGATCGAAGAGGACACGCGTCTCTGGTGGCATATGTCGACTTCAATGCGAGCCCCGGCTGACTCTTGCAGTTTGCTGATAAAGGGGCATGAAGTGGGCTGTCAGAAGAAAACCTTCATTTGTTTCCTCGAGGTTTCCAAGGTTTCCTTCACACACTAGCTGTGTGGGTCGTCTTCAAGGACTAAATTCGTATGCTAGAAAATAACCACGTAGGCACAGACCTTAGAGGTGATGCTTCTCTGCTCGCTCGTATATATTAAGGCATCACCAGAGATATTGGCCCATTGGAACCACCCATTGGGACCACCAATGTCCGCGTCCATGCCTTGCCGCTCCAAAGTGGCCAGAATTGGCAGGGGACCTTTCCCTCTAGATTATTATATGAACTCTATGGCCCGCAGGCCTGCAGGACCAGCTGGCGTCTGCCGAGGCCAAGAACCGTCGGCTGGTGGCGGCCTTCCGCCGGACCAGCCAGGACTTCCGGCAAGGCTGCTACCTGCTCACGGGCTACCGGGTGGACGTGGTCAAGGAGGGACACTACAAGCTCACCCACGTGTATGCCAACTCGCCCGACGACTATCTCCTCTTCCAGGTGAGGGGTAGTCCCAAGGAAGCCATGCCTAAAGTCACTGGATCTTGGCAAAGTAGTGCCATCGCCTTCCCTGCCCGCTGGCAGGAAACAAACAGATACTTACTTGCTGACGACCAAAACCTTACAAGACGATTGGCTGGTCGCTCTCTCTTGCCATGGCGATCTCCATTTCTGTCTTTCTTAAACTTTGAAGCTTCGAAAGGGTCGCTCTGAACCAGCCATGCCAAGAATGTTGTGGAGTGTCGTCGCACTGAGAGCATTCCTTGCCAGTATAAGCGTCTTTGGCACTGTGTATGCAATGAACTTATCGATCGTGATTGCTTCTACAAATGTCTTAATTTTTTTTTTTTATAGTTTAAGACAGGAAAATTTTTTCTCAATGCGGCCAAGCACCGACACTGCAAGAGGTGGCGGTGCGATGGTGGCCGCTAATTTCGCTGGAGTGTGGAGAACAAAACTTCCAAAGTGAAATAGTGGATTATCGCATTTTCAGCCTGCATTTGATCTTACTTTGTCGCTGCTCTCAATTCGTTGAAAGCTTTAAACTTTTTTTCTAGTCGGTTAGCAGACGATATATGGTGTTTTGTTTTAATTACGTCTGCGAATGATGCTGCGTAGCAGATGAACCGCATTCTTTGCTTACATTAGCAGACGAACCGTCTACAAACGCTACCTTTGCTCGCTCCAGGAGGGGCAAATTAGATGTCGCGGTGACCAAAATTGGACCCCAGGTGAAGTAGTATCTGCACTTGATTACTGTTTCACTCTAAACTTAGTAGCTTAGCTCTACCATATTTACCAATGTATAAATCGTAAGTGTTTTTTTTTTTTTAATTTTAGGGCATTTTTTACGATGGCGCGACTTGGATGCATCTTTTTCTGCCGATAGTCGTTAGTAGAGAACTTTCGCAGTGGATCCCGCGTGTGTTTCATGTACGTTGTAAGCCGCTAAATTCAATGGGAATTCAGTGTCACGTGACGTCATAGTGCCATGCGACATAAAAATGTACCGTAGAATACCGTGCATCCGCACATTCCACACCAAGTGCCCATTTCCAAATTAGTAAAATCTGAGAAAATATGTGCAGCACATCGATATGTAAAATTGATGACTGGACAAGTGCCTTTCCCCCATTTTTTTGCGATTATCTCCAAATCTTGAGTGGGCGCTTGTCCGGTATTTTACGGTAAATCTAAATGCGGCAATGTAGCAGCTGTGTGCAGCAGTTTGCAGTTGTAGGCCGCATCGGCATTTATGGCAAAGATAGATTCGTCGGAGAAAGTAATGAAAGTGGCTTCCGCTTGCACGTACATAGTACGTTGTGATCACGATACACGCGCGTTTATGAATAGAGTTTTGCCGCTCAACCATAAAAAGTGTGACTTATAGAAAGGTTCCACTTATACGTTATAAAAATAACCCTTTACAAGAGGGTCCGACAACTGCGCAACTTATGGGCGGGGAAATACCATTTTTTGAGCGCTCGGTGCTAGTCCGCACGGGTGGCATGACCGGTCGGAGGGGTAAACTATGGCACCAGTTCGAAACCACTTTTTTAGTCATGGGTTGGGTATGATGGTGAACATAGCGGTCGGAGATCCGTTACGGGCAACGCGGCGCTGGCCAATCTCACCTGGGGACGTTTTCCGGCGCAGAACGGTGAGAGCAGCATGAACGTCTTGGAGACGGACTACCTGAAGCGGCTGAGCTCCCTGGCGGAAGAGTACCTCGCAAAGCACGACAGCGTTCCGGCGTTCCTCAGCGCCCTCACGCTCGAGCTGTTCGCGCAGAGGAGCACGGCACAGGCGGCCACGCGGCAGTCACTTTCCTCTACCTGACCAGCCCTTGCCGACAAAAGGCTGCCGAAACGAAGCCGGCAAGGAGGGGAGAAGAACGCCGCGTGGTTCGTTGGACGGCATTGCATTTTCAAATAAATGCAGCCGTTCATTTGTTTGTATGACTCGTGTGTCCTTTCAGAACGAACGTATCACAAAGGCAGTACATACCCTGTTTTGCGTATTGCTGGAACAGTCTATTCAATTCAATTTTATTTCCAACGGTGTTGGGGGCCCTGTATGAAAGCTGCCGTAGACACCTTGAGGGCCTGTATGAGCGATTCAACTAGAAATTATAATGGCACATATGCTGTGACAGACTTATCAATAGGCAGGGTAGGCAGCTGCCTAGGGTAACAGAATTTTGCGGGGTGGCCACAAATTTGCTGCCCCCCCCCCCCCCCCCCCCCCCCCCGGAAAATAAATTGCTTTTTTTTTTTAATCTAGCTTCAAGTTTAGCTATTTTGGGAATTCTAGCTCCAGATGTAGCTACTTTTAAAAATTTTAACTCCAGACTTGACTATTTTTCTGTCCCCCCCCCCCCCTCCCCTTCCCTGACCGTAGGAAGCAGGGGTTGGTCGGACTCAACTTCTAACCTAGCCTAAAGGCCTATTCAAACACTTGCGTTTGCCCACGGCAAATTTCCTGCAATCTCTTACGACGAGAGAACACGGTGGCTCCATCTATGGGGTGACCCTGGAACTGCACTTCACTAGTGCGGAAATTTTGCAGTGTGTGAGATCAAATAGTGCGATATCTTCGCCATAATGTCAAGCTCTGCATTACACCTTTCTTCCTCAGGTTTCCCATCATAACCGATGGGAATAAGGGTCTTATTATTTTTAAATGTACATACTATCTGCGTACGAGCAATAGTCATTTATACCACTGTCAAGTTTTTCGAGCCAACAAAGAAAGAATGATCCACGAAAAAAGTTTTGAATACATACGGAAATGCCAAGTGTTCTACGGCTGCCTGGTAGATGGCGCCAGTGCGATTTCCCGTCGTAAGAGATTCTAAGAGGTTTTAAGGTACTTGGTCGTAAGCAGTCGCAAGCATGTGACTTAAAGGGACACTGACACCCCAAAGGTCTTATTTTTTTTATTGTCGAGAACGATGCAAGTTGCAGTCATAGACACGCAAAAAAAAACGCATCGCAAAAAAAAGTTTTCTTGCGCGCGCGCGCGCCTTTTTATTTTTGTTGTTTCATTCTCCCGCCTCTCGCTTCTTTTGATTCGTGACGTCAAGAATCATGAAATTTAGAAGCTTTGTAGGCGACATCTTCATAACATTTAATAACGACAATCCTAAAACATGTTTTTTAACGCAATAGCGAATGCACTACGGCCCTTCTTTTTGAAATACCAAAAATCGGGAGTTCGTTGTGGTGCAGTCTCCTGGATTTGTATCCTCCCACGGAAAACAGGCGACACCGCTCAAAACCGGTCCGCCGCAACGCCGCCGCTCACTCCTTTCCTCCTCGCTTTGAGTCGCCATGGCGACAGCAGGGAGTCGTGAAAGAAAGTGGACTCTCAGGACTCTGCAATATTTTACGTCAACGCACCGGCGCGGACTGCGCGGGAACTTCGAATTTGGCATTTGGAAATTGTTTTTTTACTTCACAAATACTGAATTCCCAAATTTCAAATTTTGAGGGTAATGTCCCGGCATCGTTTTCAATCGTTTCGGATAATAAAAAAAAATGTTTTTGATGTGTCAGTGCCCCTTTAAGACTGACGCCGTACTGTCTAATCTGTACCTTTGTTGACTAACAGTTGTTGGTATGGCATGCCTCTGTGAAGAACAGACTGCAGATCACCTGGAACGTGGATCTTGACCCGCTACCGAAATCTCGGCGAAGCAACTGCGCTCTCTCTGCAATTATGCCTTCGTCGTGTTGCAGACGCCTCGGCCGATGTTCAAATCCGTTGACCGGTGATGCACAGGCCGACACTGTGCCTCAAAGCCACTAAAGTGGTCAATAAACGTATGGTAATTACTCAATGCTGCCTTGATGGGTCTTATCCACGATGCGTGCATAGAATATCCGATGGGCTAGCAGTCTATATGTAACGAAGTACTGTATCTGTGTGTACATTGTCTGTCTGCATATTTTTTTAAAGTTTTGTCCGTCACTTTTGTGAATATTGCGTAGATGACACCAATGAAGACTGGTCACTTTTACCGCTTTACTCATACGAGAGTGAGTGTACCTTGTGAATTCATTCCCAGTACTCACTCTTAAGAGTCACTGTTCTCTTTGTGTAACCTTTTTGGCCAATTTTACGCATCTGCCAATGAAGACAGATTTTTTGGGGATGTACAAATGCCAACCTTTTGGGCTAAGCTCCATAAGCTAATTATCACAAATACAGAAGACCTAGGGAAAGCTCCTTATATCATGCACATAAAATGTACCAAATACGTTGAGCGTGCCATCTCTGTACATTTATCTTATTCCTTTGTTTACTGTTATATTTCCTAGCTCTGTTGCTACTGCTGTAAGAGGTCAGGGACATGCCAAACTGTATCATAGGTTTTTTTTTCTGACCGCCACCATCAACTCTTGATGGAAATACATTATTATTATTATTGGTATTACCGTATTTATTTGAATATAAGGCGGTCACGATTATAAGGCGAGGAAGCAGTTGAAGGACCCGAGAAAAAGAAAAAAGAATCGACGGATTTTGAAAAAAAAGCTTGCCTTATATTCGAATAAATACGGTAAGTGTCAGTTTACTACAGTCGAATCTCAAATTCAAACTCTCTTAATTCAAACTTGCGGATAATTCAAACCAACATGCAGGTCCCATCCTATGCGTGTCTATGGGAGAAAACTCCCGGTAATTCAACCTTTTCTTCATTCAAACTTTTGGCCCCCCTCGAGTTTGAATTAACAAAATTTGACTGTATAGCCAATCTTTGTGAATGTTACATGATCAGAAGCTAATGGAAGCCTTTTCTGGGTGCTTTATTTTACGATGTAAAAATGAGGGATGGATGGATGCAATGTTTGTGTGGGTGTTTTTTTTTTTTTCTTCAGAACATGTCTGAAGGTTGCCGTTGCTTCCTAAGCTGCGACCTTGATCGTTTCTCACGAACTCTTCTGGCTGATGCCCTGGCAATCCTGCGGTGAAAAAATAGCATGTTTGCTATTAATCTCGTAAGGAAACATGCACCAGGGGAAAACATTTTTAAGATTTCATTTACAATAACTGAATGAAATTTTTACAGCTTATAGTGCTTGATCCCCTTTTCATAAACCTGGTGTTAGTTTTGATATAGCTTGTGTTTTTATGTTCTGGATGCTGTGCACATGTAGGAAAACCATTTTTTTGTGCACACATGGGACATGGTAATGCATTTAAAGAACTTAGTAATATAAGCTAATTCGCTCCTTTTAAACCACTGAGTGCAACGAAGAATAAAAATAATGCGTGGGAGACCTATTTCATTTTAAAATGATTCAAAATCGCAAAAACACCATCTTGAAGGGGTTAACAAAATTGTCCCTAGTTTTTTTCATGAATATGTTAATATAGGGGGTATATTCACTGGACACCATATCTGAGTGCGCCATTCAGAGCGCATGCTCGGAACAAGCTTGCATTATTAGGCTGCTAAGACGGGTAATCTTGATGGTGTGGAATGCACCTTTCAAAAGAGCTCTGGAGGCTCACCATCAGCGTGCGCTCGGCAGTCGTGCACACAGCCATGGCCGCCAGTGAATACTCCCTATTAGCCCCGAGAAGTTTGCATGGCGCCCCCTTACGGCGAATTGAGGCGACGTCACGGCGAGGACAGAATTTCTGCCCTACTTGCTCCGGTCACCCTGTGGAGGCTGTGACTACGTTAGCTTTTGGCGCGCTCGTTTCTATTTAATATTTTTTTCGTGCGCGTTTTTCGTAGGAAGTGGAAATTTTAATATGTGGCTTTATTGAGGTATGGCTTGTAGCTGCAGGAGAAACTTGAACCAACATTTCAGGCACGGTTGACAAACAGGGCACGCAATGCATGAATCGCCGCTGGGATATGAAAATGAAGAAATATGGCCACAATTGCAGGAGCATCACTATAGATTTACATCACACACATTCAATGCTAGTGATGGTCTCATTAAATTAGGAGGTTATATACCATTTTTTTTGTATCTGTTTTTAAATAAAAACGCCGAAGCAGACAAGCTGTATGCTGCTCGAGCAACATGTTAAATGTAGTCTTGGCCATGGAGAGAGAATCGCAAGTGAGACAGTCCAAGTACAGGGATAAAGTAAAGAAAGACGGAACACAGGCATATACCAGTTATTTGTTTATATCTGTTTCTATTGCTCGCATTTGGCCATTGCTGGATTCGGATAGTATTTCAACGGACTCCACTGGTGGTGTCCGTAGACCTGTTTATAATATCGCTCAAGTAGTGTACAACAAACGTAGGTGAAGGTGTCTATTCTGTTATTAGTCCCTTGGGCTCTAAAATTGAGATTTTAGTTATATGAAATTGTCCTGAAGCGAAAATACCAGAAGCTTTAATCACGCAAACTGTCACCCTTCACAGGTTCCACATTTTCTGCTATTAGTGCAGCATCTACCACTGGACGGCTGCTCAAATGCTCGCTCTTCTTCCGAGTTTTCTTCTGTTGCATGGTCAGAGGGTCCAGCTGTAGGGAGTTTGGAGGCTGAGGAAGCTTTGGGGGACCTGCTGGAGTATGACTTTTAATCGGAAATGACAATTCATACTAAACAGTGTATTTTCCAAATACACAAGGCCAGAATAAAGGAAGAAGGTTGGGGAAAAGTATAGACGTTCCAAAGTATGATGCATATTTTGGGCAGTTCAATACATCTCATACAGGCATGGAGGTGATTTGGCCGTTTCTCCTGCTGCCATACAAACTATTTTCCAGTAGTTGCGCGAGTTCTAAAAAAATAAAACATGCCTGCATATGTGCACAAACTATATCATTAATTCACGAAGAAGCAAAATTGACGTAAAAGAACCCTGTTCTCTGAGCACTTCAAAGGCCTTAAGACCGATGGCCTTTAGAACACCTACGAACCAGCGCTTGCAGGGCGGCACGCGCAAAGTCGGGGTCGCGATCTAATTTGACGGCCGCCCAAAGGCCTTCGATATAAATGCCATTTGAAATGCCTGCAAAGCGGGATGTAATATTCTCCTAAATCGTGAACATGGAGGGATCACAATTCCAGCGTCTGATGCTGTAAAACCCTTGATGTTTGCGAGCCCTTAAGTTTCACGAATTGAAAAATTCGCGAAATTTAAGGGTACATAAAAATTTTGATTTTTAAGAGTTTCAATGCAGGCGTCTGCAATTCGCGAAATTTAATGGTCGCGATTATGTCCTCCATGACCGATTCCAGAAAAATAGGGGCCTCAACAATAAAGGGTTTTATAGTACACTTACACCGCCGCTTCATCGACCCCTCGCACGATTGCCTTGTGCTGTGTGGACCGACAGGGAGGTTCATGGCGGAATTGCTTTCGCCGATAGCTTTCCGGATTTTTAACCCAATTATAACGGTAAAAGTGACAAGCACGCTTGTACACCAACTCATGTTTACAAACAAACCAGAGCGCCCCTAGCGGACGCCACCAGTGCCGCGCATGCGCGATGGGGGTGTGGGCAAGAAGCTCGCCGTCGCCCATAAACAAACCATTGAAATGCGATGTTGTCGGCGTCGGTGTGAGTCCCCCTGCCCTTTTTCGCGTTCGCATTGTTGATTCTACGTCTTCCTGGCAAGGTCTGACTACTTCAGCGGCGTCAGCGAAATTACCGAGGCTCGTTACACCGCAAAACTTCGCGTGAATAATGTGACATGCGGCGATTCATTCCGCGTGGACGCAGCAGAATGTACGCTAAAGCCTGAGTCGCATGATGAGATTTCGCTCGGAATTTTCAGTCCGGACGTCGGTCGGGCTACAAAAGCGTGAACCGTAGCTGAGATGGTCGACGTCGATGCTGAAAATCTCAAGCAGAATCGGACCAAGTGAATCAGGCATAACAAGTCGGTGATGGCCACTGGTAACAATTATCAATGCATCCTTGTATCTACTGTTTACGTCGAGCCTGGTTACCAACCTTCAAATTTGAGTCTTTTGAGGAATGCACTTACTTCTTATCGCAAGTACCGGGCCCACGTTTAGTCTACGGGCCGGTGTCGTCTAAAAGAGCAGACGACAAGCAGAAACGTTTGAAAGAGCAGACGGCAGTTTAAACAGTCAAGCGGCCGTTTGAACTTGAAGACGCACTGAACGTAGTCCGCAGATGGTCCGTACAACCTCGTGGTTTTCCGCCGTTCATGTTAGAACAAAACAAATAGAATTGATGACCAGAAGTATCCGTGAATTCAATCCAAAGTGCTTCCCACCCAAGCAATCGTGGTCCGACGGCGTCTAGTTTTCCCTTTTCACGGCACATATCCACCTTCTCGGACGAACCGAGCACATGAAAACTGGCCTTCAAACCTTTCTCGACTCTTTTAGTACAGCCCCAGTCGCGGCGTTTTGACGAGAAGGCAGGTTTTTGTCTGGTTCCTTTCAAAACAACGCAGGAATACATGTCTCGCATTGGGACTTCTGCCCACAGCCCCAGACCAGAAGTGCGACCGACGCGCCACCACCGCGCCGTGACGTAACAGAGATGAGTTCGTGTATTGACGGTATGGAAGCACGTCGATATTGGCCTAGCCCAGCGTCTTGTACACCGGGCAAACAAGGTCCCGCTCCTCGAAGTGCTTGCGGCACACGACGGCCAAACCAGAAAACGGGCAGGGAAGCGAGCCAGATGCAAGATCGTGAAGCGGAGTCCTTTCCCTGACGTCACGGTACACCTCACCCAGTCAGGGCGCGGCGACCGCAGCGACGCTTGTGTTCGCTCTCGGGGCTAATACACCAACACGTGGCTGCGGTGGCGCTGCTAATGACAGGGCACATGTGCAGGCGCTCCACTTGGCGTGAACCTGGTTCCTACGCACGCACAGTGCCCACACCTCGTGCGGAAACTGCACATTCACCGACACCTCGTGAGGGCTTGTTTGTAAACAGCGCGCTGGCCTCTACATTCTGACGAAAACTTGATAGTTGCATTCTACATGTTCTTAACTATATGTATGCCAAATTTGGTCGTGCTAAGAACAAAAATTCTTGTCTGCAAATCGTGAAGATGCCCCATAATTAGGTACATAAAGAGAAGAATGCGTTCTAATGGTGTGTAGCAACTCTTTTGTGGCGGGAAAAATATTTTTTTCGTTACTATTTTGTGAAAGATTTAAGCTACAGGAGACTGCGATGAAGAGGAGACGGCTAGGTGTACTTCTCAACATAGTAAATGTGATGGCGGGTGACATCGCAATATGTAGAACCGCGCAAATAAAATTGGGCCCAAGTGTATGCCGTTCTCGGTTCCCAAGAGTTCTTCATGTGCGTATTCGACTAGTTTTGAGATCGTAACCGGTCCTTAATAGTTTTATACGTAAAATATGGAGATGTAAAAATAAAAAACGTCATAAAACCCAAAATCACATTTTTTGTGGAATATTGCCGCTTTTCAACTTGCATCTCTTGTATTAAGCCAGGTCACTGGATTGTCACACATCTTTCTAACAGTTCTAGTAGCACAAGATGATGTGCTCGAAATATAAGTCCACCAGACAGCCTAGAAATACAGAGAAGAAAACAACTGATTATTTGCTGGCCTTCAGAGACTGTTTAGATGTCTGGAGGAAGGAAGCCCTGACATTTAGAAATGAGATAAGACAAATTAAGCAACGTCAAGTCAGATCACAGATATGCAGCATAATGCAGTTTAAAAGGCTAGCGTGTTCAGGTTTTATATTTGTCTTAAATCGGGGATCAAAAATTGGCTCAAGCTTTTCTCCGGAAGGAATTTATTTAAATTTCTGGATATAGAATCACGAGCCTACTTTTTGGCGATAATTTTTAAACTATTTTCAGTGCTTCTTGCTAATTTACAAATGCAGTTACTAGAGTCGCATATATGTTATGTGCTGAGCCTGATTTTATAAATTAGAGACAGCTCAAGCATGTAGCTTTTACCGCAATGCTATGGTCAGTTGCAGGTTAACAAAAGTATTCGAGGGAAAGGAGAGTAGGGAGGAGGAAGCAAACGGAATGCTGGAGAGGAGAGAAGAAAACCTCCTCCTCTCTCCAACGTTCTGTTTGCTTCCTCTTCCTCAGCCTTCCTTTCCCTCGAGAACTTTTCTTAACCTGCAACTGAGTATAGCTTAGGTGGTGAAGGGAGTGTTGGCGACTTCAGCAAAACTGACTGCACGCAGCGGCTAGAACAGAGAGCCGCAATGGCAGGTTTGCTCGCCAGCCTTCTGGAGCGAATCGGGTATTCACGGCGCCCGGCTAACCGAAGACGAAGCCGTGAAGGTAGGCTAAAAAAGCATGCGGTGAAAATCCCGAATAGTCGCACAACATTTGCCCATCGAATCCTCACCTCGAACTGATCATGAGCTTAGTCTCTGGACTGAGTTCTGGCGGTGGCTCGCAGGCTTTGATGATGAGCGCCTTCAAGCGTTCCAGGCAGTCGGTGGTGTTGAGTTGCTGGTACCGTGTCTTTTCAGAGGTCACTATGAGCTGCCCGTTTTTGTTCATCATGTGCTGACACTGCAAATACAGAAGCAAAGAGTAAAAAAAACAAGTTCCAACATTTTCTATTACGAGGGACATAGAAGACAATTTACAGACGACAAAGGCTTATGGCGACTGCCTTCCTGCTAGCGAAATGCGGGACATGCTGGTGCTGACTGGTGGGAGGAGGGGGTTATGTGTGTAACAGAAGGAAGGTATTATCAGAACTGCTGCAACTGAAAAATTAAAAGCTATTAGGTGAAATTTATTGACACGGGCACCGCAATATGTGGCTCTGCTTACACATTTAATATGCTATGCTGTCCGAAAGCATATTACACACTAGCAAATTGTATTGAGGAAATTAAGCTCGAATAATTTTCACTCCCAAATGCCAAATATGTTGTTAAATATGTGCAAGTTGAAAACATAAAAACTGACTGCAGCAAAACTCAATACATCAAAAGAAAAAAAAATCTTTGGTTTATTGGTTTTTGGTGATGTTTATTTACAAATTTAGAACCTTATCTTCTGTTAGACTCTAGTTAGTAGCAGGCCTTTTGCCTTGTGTAACAATCTTCACAAAAAAAAAAAAAAAAAAGATTTTACGGCAACTTTTTTGATTGACAATGCATTATTTGAAAATAATTACAATAATTTATTTTTCAACTTTTGGCAATATATAGCCACCAAGGGGAGAGGCACCACGGTGCATGCGCGTCGTGTCTCCTGCAAGAATGACGGTAGCTTTCTGCAATGTTTAGATAAAAAATGGCATGCCATCGCGATTCACACGATTACCAGCAACCTCTACACATCCCCGTTGTTCGGCAGCGCTGCGAGTAGTTGCACAGTGAATTTTACGAAATGCAGGGCATTTTTGAAGATTTTAGCGTTTCTCGCGGGATGCCAGCCCTCGATGCGGGACGGGTGGTCACCTTATACAAGACCTCTTTCGTTTTCGTAATTTAGACACCAACGCAGCTCAACCAACCACACCTTCCAATTCATTGACCATTGGAGAATGCCAGTGGAATTCTCGAAATGTGAAACGGGCTGAATGTCTGTAATTTTTTAAGTTCGATTTTCGCAGTCAAGCGCATATGAATCAAACAAGGTCATTCCTTGCGATACTCACAGTTTCTAGTAGTTTTTTCCTGCCTAGAGGAGGTATCCATTGAGCACTTTGGACGTGGAATCTGATCTCCACCTTGCTGTTCACTGTTAGGAGAGACACACGCTTATGGTGTGCAGTCGTGCAGTGCCTTGTTGCGAACAGCAGGGAAAGGATCGAGTTGTCCCGCCTCCAGCGCGAGCTTCGTACCTTCGACAACGCTTCGGCGCCTCGTGCACCTCGAGCGCGCATGTGGTTAAGCGGGAGCATAGCCTCCTAGACACTGAGAAATGCCTGGCAGATCGCCACGAGAAGCGGCCGCCCAAATAGTCCCTTACCGAAATTCAGTCTGGCCACTTTGATCACTATCATCATCTGTGGAACGGCATCTGTGCCATACCAATGGCGGCCTTCTAGTGATGATAAAGGAAGACGTTGAAGATGCTCCTAAGCGGATCTTGCGAGGCCTGTACATTCAGGGGGTCAGTATGACGCGACGCCGGAATGGAACACAAGAGCTACGTAAGCGTTTATTTCTAATAACTCAGATTCAGACAATCTGTGGGCGACACACAATCGGCTTTAAAGCACTTTGGTGTATAGAATTTTCTCGAGGCATGTGAGTGGGTTGGAGCTTTGTTCTGAATGCAGGTTCTTGGTCACCTTCGAACTGAAAGTGATCGAGAAAGAACTCGCACTGAACAATTCGTCGCGTGCCGTGGACTCGCGAAAGTGACGGTGCCGATACAAGTTAATTTCCGCCATTGATATGGCAAAACCTAAACTGCTTTACAAACCACCAGATGGCACTGAATTTCGGAAAGGGTCCATTGAAAAAGGTGGAGCGGCAGACAACTGATGAGAGAAGAGCCACGTGACTGGCGTCCCGCTGCGGCGAGACGCCGAAACAGACTTCCCGAGCGAACGAGTGTGTTTCGGGTCCCCGCCGTTGCAAAAGCTGTGCGCTGACGTCCAGATTCCTTGAGAAATGGCTCTTTGATGCTCTGTGCTACCTGATCCTCGCGCTCCAAATCTGCGACCGGGCACTTTATGGCTCCGTCGTCGAACCGCCAGGCTTTGAGAGTATAGAGGAGGCTACGGCGGGAGGCACGAGGCGCGTGCTAGAGACCGGGAGTTCGAAAGGCATGCCCTGTCGGTCGCCGACTAGAAACGCTCACCGTTTACCTTTGTTAACGTTCTGACCACCCGGTCCGCTACTGCGGCAGTACGATACTTGAAGCTGGTCTGGAGGAAACAAAGTTGAGAAAACATTCAATCACATTTTTTGTCTGACAAGCAAAAGGCTTATCGGGAGAGAGAAAAAGGAGTTACCAAGCGGCACGTTTCCTGTGAACACGTTTTCGTCGTCTGCTTTTCCAGACTGCTGAAGAGGGGAGGTGAAGGATCACACAAAGTTGTTGAGTTGTGACAACACAATGAGAAAAGAAAACGATTTTCGAAAGCACGGCGTAGTTATATTACCTACTTTTTCGGATGCCTCGTCGTCCCTTGACCATTTTGAAAATTTCAGACCCGAATTAAGAACTGAAAGAGAAGGATTCAGGAACAAAATTCGCCTAGAGAACTCGAAGCAGACGGGCAGACGACATATCCCCATGGCACTGCACAAGGCTTGGTCGCTCTGTTTTCTTTTGGACAATATCCAGTTCCCGTTAGGGGTCTCTTTAAGAAGTACTAATTTACTACATTTATTTGTAAGTGTGTTAAAAAAGATTTAAATAGTTTATAAATAAAATTTAAAAAATCATAGGTTGTTAATTTTACCAAACATAATTGATAGGGCAACGGCAGCGCCCTTAGCGGTTCAAGTGCCCTCTTGAAACAAAAGACTGACAACGGGCAGTTTCGGTTTCGGTTTCACCGGGTTGTGCATCTGTCGCCTGCTATCGGCTCGCACCACCCTTGCTCACGTCGTCGTGGATTACGCCACACTTACGCGCGATGCAGTAAGTGCCCTTTTCTTCTTGTCGCTACAAAGCAGACACAACGAATAACGAAACAATTACGATTTTGCTGGCACGGGGAGCGAGCGAAAACGCCGCAATGGCGAAGTCAAGTGAACGCAGATCAACGTAATCAGAACGCCTTGTCAGCTCACTGCTAGAATTTGTTTGCAACCTTGAGAACAGCCACTGAGTACCCTTGTTCCCGTTGCAATTCCCTCACGACGACGTAGCAAGATGTGCATGTTTGCGCTTGAACGCATTCTCGTACAGCGAGGTTCGTCTTGTACCGCGTTAGCCTGATTGAAAATCGCGATTGGTGAGGCAAGAGTGTTACGGAACTGGGGTATTAGTTTCAGCAGCTGCTCTCGAGGCTGCAAACAAATCCACGCAATATGGTGTCTGGAACGCGTCTCCGACCGGTGTGTTTATCGCGTCCAAAAAAGTGGTCCCTCGATTTCCGCCTGATGACGTCGTACAAGTGTCATGCTGTCGCCGGTCGCGATCCTGGCGGCGTCCCAACAGCCGTGGTGTTTGTAGAAGATGCCTGATCTGCTTCAAGTCGCTCTCAAGTGTGGCTGTCCACGGAAGTTTCGGCAGCCAGAAGTTGGGACGCCATGCGACAGCGATACTCGTGTTCGGTTGTGCTACTCGCAGCCTTCTCGTTAGCATTTCTACGACCAGCCGCCAGGATCGCGACATGCAACAGCATGACACTTCGGCTTCTGTGACGTCATTTATTGCCACTTTGGGACCACTTTTGATGTAGAAAGTAGCCTGTTCCATGAACCTGATAAAATTTGAAGATTCGTCAGGCAGCACACAAAGGAGCCAACACGGGTTCTTTCTCTTCGTCATAATAATGGCTATGTAACTTCTCCTGTGAAAGTAGCTAACACTTTTAGAAATTTTTTTAGTGAGTGCGATTCTACGGACGTTTTTATAAGTGCGCCCTCTATGAGTAATGTTGAATGTAACGACACTCTGACTGTCAATCAAGTTGTCACACAAGAAATTCTGGAGGCAATACAAAGGGTAAAGCCCAAGCGGTCTGTAGGGGCTGACTCTATGCCTAGTTTTATTGTTAAGGGATGCGCTGAATTGTTTGCCCCTTTATTAAAGCATTTTTTTAACCTTTCATTGAGAACTGGGGTCTTCCCGTATTTGTGAAGAAATTCAGTTGTAGGTGACACGTCTAAGGTAAAGAACTATCGCCCCGCGTCTTTGTTATGTGCGTTTTCAAAGGTTTTCGAGGTTGTTATACATGCTCATGTTTCTTTTTACTTCAGTCAAAAATTAGCCACTGTTCAGCATGGATTTGTAAAGGGTCGATCTGTGGAAACGAACCATTGTTCTCTAGTGGATTACACGGTACCGATAATTGTTACGCGAGGACAAGTTGATATTGTTTATTTCGATTTATCTAAAGCCTTTGACAAGGTAAATCATAAATTGCTATTGTATAAGCTCTCACTATATGGTGTATCTTCGACGCTTTTAGATAATAGCTATCTGTCTGAACGTCAAAATCGTGTATGTGTCTCGAGTTGTTTGTCAGATGTTCTTGTGCCCAGTTCAGGTGTTCCGCAGGGGTCAAACTTAGGACCGCTTCTGTTTCTTGTTATTATTAGCGATATTGAAATGTGCGTAAAAAACGCGCAGATGCTTTTATTCGCTGATGATATCAAGATCTTCATGAGAATACAATCGGAGGATGACTGCGCTCTTTTACAGAATGATGTGTCACGTGTTTCAGACTGGTGTCTTGATAACTTTTTACTTATCAACCCTGATAAAACAAAACAACTTACCGTGTGTAGAAAACGTGAAATTATTTCTTATCCGTATCTACTTCGTAATTCTATCCAACGTGTCCTTCAAGTCCGTGACCTTGGAGTGTATTTTGACAGCAACCTTTCTTTTTCACATCATGTTAGCCAAATTGTTGCCTCTGCTCTTAGAGTGATGGGAATGATATCGCGCCTTATGTGGGACTTTTCAAATCATTGGTGCGTGGTGCGCTTGTTTTGCGCCTTGGTTAGGGTTAGACGCGAGCTCTGCAGTGTTGTGTGGAACTCGCTGAATTCATCTGATGCGGCACAAATTGAAAGAGTGCAGAAACGATTTATTCGTATTGTTTATGAGGGGTACTTTGAAAGGAGATGTTTCTAC